GTTGCAGAGTTCCATACTAGGACGGCGAAATAGCTATTTAGTGCTTCTTGGTTTTAACGTCATCTAGTCTGCGATCAATTTTCCAAGAACAATCACTGAAAATGAGACCGATCTTCATTAATGAATCTATTCGAGATCTACTCCTTGAGTTCAGCTGAAAAATTGTGGTTGATGAAAGATGTGCTGGGAGTAAAACAGTCATCACCAGCAATAGCACTGGGTGTTCATTCTGTTGTTTTGTGAATGCAATATCACCGGGTACTAACCAAATCGGTTACTGGCTGAATGGCACCGTGCGGTTCTGGGTTTGATTTCAGACGGAGTCAACTATGATGGATGCCACTACGAATAAAGCAAGTCTCCACGAACCCCTTCAACTAAACTTCTCACTGTTGCAGGAAAAAAAAGGTCTTAAATCCTCTGATGATCAAAGAAAAACAAGTGGAAGTTTCCCGACCGTTGCTGCTATCTTGACGTGGTGGTCGGGCTTGCCTATCGTGATGAAGCAATCGAGCTATGCTGGCTGGAACAATCGTTCCTCGAGGTCCTACCATGCCAGACAGGTCGGTTGAAGAGCGGTAAGACTAAAAGCAGCAATCCCAAGGTCCGAAGGCGAAGTCGTACTGCCGACTGTACATAAGTGTGACGGCAGTAAGGTGTTTCCTTCAGACAACCAGCATGACAGCGATGCTGCCTTTCCACAAGGAGGGGTGGGGTTAGAAAAGGTCGACCCTAAAAATACACATCTCGCCTTATCCCACGGATTTCTGTCTCCAGTGGTAAGGTCCTTTGAAGAACAGAGCTAACACGTCAAAAATCCTTCACAAAAAGGCCGTGCGTGACCGGCCTCAAGCAGTTGTCCCTTGGGCACTGCAGTCACGCTCCCAGGTCGTTAAGACCAACACTAATTCGACTTCTTTTTCAGGTCCCTCAAGAAATACCCTTCCACGGTGTGGGCAGCCGGGAAGTGATACTAGCCCTCATACCCGTAACTGCACACGAAACCAAGTTGGTCACTTTCAAATCCTTCCTACACCTAATAACTCTGTTATCTCCACGACTAACCCTTCCCACGTCCTTTTATCACCTCGCACCGCTAGGGCAAACGATTCAAGTACACGAAACGTTATTCCTGGTCTCCTGAAACCACGCTCTAAAATACATATAGGAACCTTTAATGTTCGAACATTGTGCCAAATAGGACAACAGGCTTCCTTAGCTAGGACTCTAGAATCTTACACCATCGATGTGTGCTGTGTCTCCGAAACGCGCATACAAGATCCGAGTAGTGTCATTCATTTGACCTCACCTAATCAAAATAAAGAACCATCTCGATACACGCTTCGTGTATGTGGAAGCCCTGATGCTGCTTCCCGTGGCCTCGCTGGAGTAAGTATAGCATTAAGTCCTAGGGCAGAACTAGCTCTTTTAGACTGGATCCCAGTAGACAGTCGTCTATGCGCTGTCCGACTAAACGGATCAGTGAGGACTCGAAAAGATCGGGAATCCCGTCATTGCCTCTTCGTCGTCTCTGCCTACTCTCCCACTGACTGTAGCTCAGACGATATAAAGGATGAGTTTTACAGGAAACTTTCTGACCTTCTCCGAAAAGCTAGGCGTTCTGATGTAGTAATAGTGGCTGGTGACTTTAATGCTCAAGTAGGTAAACTAATTGAAAGGGAAAGACACTTGGGAGGATCTAATGGTGTTTTTGCTAAAAGGACAGATAATGGCGACCGTCTGTCGCAGCTGTGCTCAGATAACTGCCTATTTCTTGCAAATACTAACTTTAGGCATAAGGAAAAACATCTTTTGACATGGCGACCCCCGGATTCGTCCCAACGTTGGACCCAATTAGATCACATCGCTATCAGCCACCGATGAAGGGGCTCGATAGAAGACTGTCGATCATTCTGGGGCACATTTTTAGACTCAGATCATGCTCTAGTGCGAGCACGTATCTGTCTGCGTCTTACTGGACGTACGAAAGACACTGCAGGGAAGCCTCTAAGGGTTCTACTTAATGATAAGCAAGCTAAGAATATATTTCAGGAACAACTGGAAAAACAGTTAGGCAGACATGTGAGTTGTGCCTACCTCGAGGCAGCGTAGAATGACATCCGAAAAGCTGTGGAAACAGCAGTGATATCCGCTAGTAATGTAAGCCATAAGGTCAGAGAGAAACAATGGATCTCAACAGCATCTACCGCACTGATAGATGCTCGTAAACTCATCCCACCTGGCTCTGAACATAACGAAGAGCGGAGTCAGCTTAAGCGAAGGCTAATAAGAAGCCTACGCAATGATCGTGAACAGTGGTGGGTAGCGAAAGCAAGAGAGATGGAAAAGGCAGCGGCAATAGGTAACAGTAGGCAGCTATTCAGACTCGTTAAAGAAACCGGCATTAGGAACCCGAATATCAGTGAAACCATCTCAGATAGAGATGGGCATATTATTCATTCTCAATCCAGGAGATTGGATCGATGGGCAGAACACTTTAGGGATCGGTTCAACTGGCCTTCAGCCACACTCCAGTTACCCACGATCCACAGTCGTCCTGAATGGCAAATTGAGGTGTCCTCCAACTCTCTACGAGGTTAAAAAAGCTATAGGAAATCTAAAGCGAGGGAGAGCCGCAGGCCCTGACAAGTTTACCCTTGAGATTTTTAAGGATGGTGGTCTAGTACTAGCAGCGAGATTGACTGAGGTCTTAGGTAGGATCTGGGAACTGTGCGTAATTCCATCTGACTGGTCCCAATCACTGATTGTGCCAGCCTATAAGAAAGGACAAAAGTCCTCCTGTGACAATGACAGAGGAATCCGTTTGACTAATATAGTGTCTAAAATATTAGCTTCAATAATACTAGGTCGCCTAACCAAAGCTCGCGAAGAGCAGACTAGAGAAAACCAGGCTGGTTTCCGACCTGGACGTGGTTGCATAGACCAGATATTCACTCTACGTCAGGTCCTAGAACATAGACATACATTCAGACGTCCCACAATAATAGTATTTCTCGACCTTAAGGCGGCATTTGATTCAGTTGATCGTGAGGTTCTATGGCAGTGTTTGTCAGTGAAAGGAGTACCAAAGAAGTACATTAACCTCATAAAGGCTCTACTCGAACACAACTGGTCCAGTTAGAGCCTATGGCGAACCGTCATCAGAATTGGTTACCTCAAGTGGTGTTCGTCAGAGCTGTCCACTCTCCCCATTCTTGTTTAACTTCGTCGTCGACATACTTTTAAAGGTATCACTTTCATCATCTCAATCTCCTGGAGTTGAACTTTTACCAGGAGGCTCACTTGTTGACTTAGAATACGCCGACGACATAGTTTTATTCGGTGAAGACGCTGACAAAATGCAGTCTTCTGACCACCATAAGCAACAATGCAGGCATGTTAGGGATGCGATTCTCTCCCTCGAAGTGCAAAATGTTACTTAAGGATTGGGTTGCATCGACACCTGAACTAATGATAGGGAGTGAAGTACTTGAGAGTGTCGACCGCTTCACTTATCTTGGGAGACTCATCAGCCCTTGTGGTCTGGTGTGTGACGAAATCTCAGCACGGATACAGAAGGCTCGTCTAGCTTTCGCCAACTTGCGTCATTTATAGCGTAGGCGAGATATCCGTCTAGCAACCAAAGGACGGGTTTACTGTGCAGCGTCCGTTCCGTCCTACTTTATGGCAGTGAAACATGGCCCATAAGAGTAGAGGATATTTGTAGGCTACTAGTATTCAATCATAGGTGTCTTAGAAACATTGCTCGTATATCCTGGGACCACCGGGTAAGTAATGCAGATGTTAGGAAACGGGTACGAGGTAAGGATGGTGAAGTACTGAAACTTCATCAGTTGAGATGGCTGGGACATATGTTACGTATGCCCAACCACCGACGTGCAATGCTTTATAGTGTAGGTTGGAAGAAAGCTAGGGGCGGCCAGACCAAAACATGGCATAAATCCATGAAATCACTGACAAGTGGACTGAGCCATGTTGGTAGGTGTAGACTACCTGGTTGGGATTCGTGAGATGATAGCAACCGATGGTTAGAGACCTTGAATGACATGGCTCAAAATCGTTTGCAATGGCGAAGGTGTATCCACTCTTTGTGTTCTCCCGAATTCTAATCTTCTGAATTCTTCATGTCTATCTTTTTCTCTTTCCAAATTTATTTCACTGTATTATACTCCTTGAATAACATCTTCAAACCCTTATCTTTTACATAATACTTATACTCTTACTACTTCTACCACAATGGGATTTGAATCGACAACTTCATCTCTGTGCTAATGTGGTATGGCAACTCGAACTGATGTACGTACGTACGAAGTTCTACGTTGTAACTGACTGACTGAAGTGGAAGTCACGGAAACCTTGCGAATAGACGTATTTTTTATCAATCTTTTATACTAGTGTAACTTCCAAACAGACAACGAATCTACTATTTAATAAAAACAAATGGAGAACATCTAACTTATTACCACTGTATGTTTTTTTAAAAATTAAGTGCGAATGTGCATGTACATGTAATGCCATTTGTACTTTTTATCAGAAGTCTACTGATAACTGATTTTTGGTACTTTTCTCCTTTTCTAGTAAATGCAAACGATTTGGGAGACAAGCATGGATGATTGCAAGCATTATTATAACTGAATTGTTGATCGTAATGAAATTTGGTTGGGACATAATTACTAAACCATTCCCCAGACATATATCCATTTTCTGGTCGTTGGTTTTAATCGGTCTAGTATCGTGGACTTTCTGGCACTTTTATATCGTACCTTGGTTGTTTCGATGGGGTCGCGCATCGAAAACTGAGACACGAGAGGAAGAAACTATTCAAAATCATCGCCTACAGAAAGCTGAAAACCATGTTGCTTATAGACGCAATGCTAGATCATCAGTAAAGCTGTTAAATCACTCATAGTCACTTTAATAACCGATCTCTTTTGCCTATCTATGAAGATGATTTTATCACATTTTTTAATATTAGGGAATTTCAAAAAAAATTATGTGCCAAACTTGTGTTTTTATTAAACTTTATGGCAGTTAACATCATACACAGGTTCATAACGTCCCGAACCATTAACTGCGACAAGTTCATAAAAAAACTTGACATCATACTGTTAGTTTTTGACATTCTAAAAGTAAGCATACATACTTGTGAAACTGACAATACACAATAAAATTTGGTATCCTGCTCGAAATAGTATGAAATCCATATATTATAATAGCCACTAAAGTATTTTAAACAAGCTAGAACGTTATCCCTGCACACACCTAATTTACGTTACATTCGTGCCTTTGGATCTCGTCTCAAAAATTTCTGAGTAGACAGTGGGAATTGTGCTGTATCAAAGTCTGGGTCATTCGTCAAGCGTACTGCTAGTCGATCTGAGACAATGTCTTTCAAAGAGTTTACGAGTTTAATGTCTGCAGCAGGTAGTCTTCTGAGATTCGACTTGTATTTATCTTCTACATCATTATTCGAATGTTCGTTTGTCTTCTCTTTATTAACATAATCACTCGCAACAGCATCGGATAAGCATTCTATGAATAATTGATCAGGTGATTGAAATAAAGATGCTGAGTGTTCTTGCATAACCTATTTGAATAGCATAAAAAATAACGAATATGAAGTGATTAAACACTGAGATGTATAATGCGAACGAAGTTATTGTGAAACATATTGTGGCATAAGCAAACTTCTCTAACAGCCATCAAGAGAGAGATAATCATGTGACTGAATGCTACTTGGTGACTAGATATATCGCAGAATAATAAATGGAATAAGGATTCCCAAAAATGTGCCAACCTGAAGCTGTCTTAAGATTGTCAGCATCTAGAAGTAGGCACCATGCAAAAGTGGGGAAGAGAGTGCACCTCAGTGTAATTGTTGTTCGTGTCAGAAGGAAATAAAAGTTAGAAAGTAACCTAATCAGTTTAGTTACTTATTTCGTAACTTCTATTTCTGAAGCGTCGGAGAAATCGGTTATTTACTCTGTCATGCAAGTGAGATTTTATAGTTTGAGTGATTTGTACTTTGGTACACCCTAGTAGAGATTTCATGGTATTTTGCAAGCCTACACTAAACGTTTACAAAGTTAACTTGCTTCCGCTACCCTTTGTAGTAAAGCATAGGCCGCCGACCAGGATTCTCTATTAAACTCAGTCCTGAATAATCCTTTCTAGTCGCTATTTATTCTTTTGGTGTTTGCTTTTAGTTTACGACGCAATGTCCCTTGGTCTTTCTGTTTCCTTCAGATTTCCAAGTTGAGGTTGTAGTTGGAATGTGTTTCTAGGAAAGACATTTAACCCTACATCGTGATAAAGATATGAGGCTTTAGTTAGTTCGTATTTCAAAATATTTTGCCTTCTTTACCCGATGCACTTACAAAAGTTTTAAAGCTACTCGATTAACAGTATCGCCATTGGATGTAAGCGATTTCTCGAGGACAAAAGTCTGCATATATTGTTGTCGTATCATTTATGGGACTATCAAGTTAGACGCGGTGTTATATATATATATATATATATAATATTAGCGACTATGTTTTGTTAGGGATCAGTAAACAAAACGTTCATTACCTTTCTTCTTTTCGCAGGCATGCCTGCTATATATCCATCACTAAATCGTCCGAATTGATTAGGATCATCAGTAGTTGGAGGGTTATGTGACATGGCAGATATATCACTGGTGACTACATGAATCCAGGCAGGGGGTAAAACAGCGTGCCAACCTTCTGTTTCATTTGGAACTGATAGGTCATTACTTATAGACAGAGTAGCATTCGGATTAGGATCAAGTCCATTTATCATACTGTTAGGCAATTCTCCTGGTTTTGGAGTCCAATCAGGTAAGGAAGATATTTTTGATTGTAATTTAAGACGACCAGTGTGTACATTATTTTTTGGAACAGCTGATATAGGATGGTTCATTTCATCCGAAGGCAAATCAGAATATGCATCTAAAAACGGTAAATCATCACCGTGCAAATCTTCATCATCAAATACATTTCGTTGGATTTCACCGTTTGACTGAAAGATAGTAATGAACACTCGCGTAAGGGAAAATCTATTTGTATATAATATAGATAATTCACACGTTTCACCATATTTACACATTCAATCCACTTGTAAACACAACTTATAAATTTACCGGACCACCGCTTTACTATGTTCGCATGATCATCTAATATTATAATGTGTAAAATGAAAATAAAGAAGACTAACCGGATCAACCATCATAGGTGAAGGCATTTGAGATTTCCTGAACTCTATGTATGAGGACTTTTGGTGTGTCACCTTAGCACGTAATGTGGTTTCATCCATATCACAGTATGATTTAATACAATTCTCAAAACCTGTTATAAAGTCTTGAGCAAAGTCGAAGTTTTCATCATCTATAGAAATTATAAATTTAGAAAAGAATAAACAACCTAATGAAATCAGAATAGGGATTTGTGGAGATTGTAGTAATTTTAGTTGCTGAATTCATGAGCTAATACAAGTATTTAATAAAATATCGGAATTACTACTGAAAATGACGTATGTTCTTACATCACTAAAGGAAACATACCAACTGTTTTTCAGGCGTACCACAAGTGATGATAAAATAGTTTGTTTGCTTCTCTGCATAGTCTATTAGCTCTATTAAAGAATGTCCATAGAAATAGTGTTTCTGCAAAAACTTATAATTTGACTCAGGCAAGTCAGATGTTATTGGATCTTAAATAACCGTTTCCACTCTCATGACCTGGCTCCAGTTACTCACGTCGAATTGACAGAATGAGTGAATACAAGGCGAAACTGTCCAACCTAAATAGTGCTATGCTTCTAGCAACTCAATCAATTCCTTAAACTATTTAGTACAAAAAAGTCAAAGGTCCTATGCTTCAGCTGATGACAGTACATGAGAAAAAACATGAATATTTATGATTCTTTAGGTGACCTTGCCAACCAACTATTCTGAACATGGTTCTATAGAGTTTGATTCAACTGTAGGTGCGTAGTTTTAAAAGTGCAAAACAGCCATCGATTTGAAAAACGTCTATCGGTTTATACGGAACAAATTTCCTAAGGAGTAAGATATATTTTAGCAGAAGCAATGTACAGTTGTTTAGTAACAGTTAGTGACGCCTAGAATAATTTGGAAATACTTGAAAGAACTGGTGAACACTTAGCTCAGTTATCGGCTGGTGTAAAACAGTCCATGCACTTACCCTCATTTTCTTGCAGAAATGAATTTAAATGATCCAACAATATATCAAAGCCTGTAGTGATACCAAACATCTGGTTTCGAATTCCTTGAGAACTTTCAGAACAACTCGATTCAGTGTGTAGTTCGATACCCAAAGAAGAAGCAAGATGATTTGTAAGGATATCTGTTAAGCACAGAAGATCTGTACAAGCAATCTTGAGAGTCATCAGTAGGGTATTACCGAATCCGGTATTCGTCGGACTGGCTCTCCACAAATCCAATTGCGAAGAAATTATATACTTAAGGAATTAAGATGTAAATGGAAATTATAAAATTTTTTAATTAAAAGATAGGAAATAATTGGTACGTCAGTTATAAAATAACTTTAGGAGTGTAAACTATGAAATCTATCGGGAACTTATATGAAGGTTCCAAAAAAGGCTACGGACATATAGACCAATGTGACAACTAACTAATTAAATGTAACTTATATAACAATTTCTACGACATTAAAATTCAAAGTAAGACTATGTTAATACGCCAAAGTTGGTTGCCATCACTGATAATGTCAAATGAATCCTCAACTCCTTATAATTAAATACGAAGCAATCCATTGTGACAATTACCAAGCGTAATTCAGGCGCATGCATTTGGAAAAAAACAGTCAGTGTTTGTGTTCGCCCTGAAAGTCATCAAAGTGTTAACATATTAATCTGGACTAAACAATCGAGATGTGTTATATCCTAGTGAAGACATAAGTACGGGTAACTTCCTGGACCTATTAATGGACTATTATTCTATAAGTATTGCTATTGTATAACTACCAATGATTAAATTTAATCTATATATATATATATATATTCATCTTATTATAAGCTTTATTTTGATCTATAAATTATTATTGTATGATTTACTGTTCCTAAATTATATTTAGTTTATTGATTACTGTCTCCCACGTTCACAGCCACATTTGGCTCGGTCTTGTACGAATATTATTTTCTATTTTATGGTGTGATGCGGTCTGTCTGTCTGGTATATAAACCGAATATGTTTGAAACAAATGATTCGCATAGCAGAAGCTGTAATTGATGTTTTGAAATCAACTGAAAGGGCTAGGTGGACCAATAAGGACGCTAGGCTACTCATACCGGTCGAACGTCATTATTTTGACACAGTGTTAAGATTAGACAAGTCGTATTTTGATTGGTGGATTAATCACGTGATAAAAAGCCGGGCATGAATTCAGAACAATCTGGTCAGTCATAAACAACAAAGATCTGTATCGGTTCACGTCGCCACAATGAAAATCAAGTGTGAATAAAAATAAGAATTCATTTTAATTAAAGAATAAGAACAACTTATGAGTAGATTTTATAGCCAGCTGGAATTTTACTCTTAAACAAGAAAAAACGAATACATATGTCAAAAAAGAAAAAAACAGTATCAAAATTTATGAATACCTTACCCTACATAATTTGGCAAATGATGCTGTTATATCAACCAAGTGTTCAGGGAGATTTTCACCAAAATTCCTTAGCCATGTTGCGTATTCACTGTGAGAAGCATCTGACAATCGATCTCTAAAAATAACATTAACTAAGGAATTGACAAGTTCTGTTTGGTTGTTCCCCAAAACTGACTCGGCCCAGAAAAGGTGATGTTGCAGATGTTCGCGTAAACCATCCAAGGAGGATGAAGTGATGTGACCGCAGCTTTGAGTATCAGGATGCTCATTGACCTCATTATGAATGGCGGTAATAATATCACTTAATAACCCAACGGATACACTTCGACCACGTGATGCGCTATTCACGGAATAGTTTGGATCATTGACATCTGAAGAATAGATGAACTAAGTGAGAATATTGAGAAAAACTACTTAACGGAAAAAAATATTTGGGCTTTTCAAAAACCATTTCATAGGAATAACTAAAATGTATAGTCAATATGACAAACTCACATTCGCAGGCAACCACTAAATTCGATGACCGGGAAATCCTGGACCATACTGTTTTAATCAAACCATCTATGAGTACACTGAAGATTTGAGATATCCCTCTAAGTTGCGATTGGTTTATTTCATTAGAAACCCAAGATGGTTTAGCTTGAGGAAAAATTCCTATGTGATACGACAGAAATTGAGAGAATACAACTTAAAAAGTATACGAATTCAATGAAATAAATTTCTGGGGATCATAAATGCAGAAGTAAAGATAATCGACTCAAAAAGTGACAACGAAGCGAAGCGACAAGCTGGTATCGCTAATGTATTAATACTTAGTAAACTACAATTTATAGTATAGGGATTTATCCGCTTTTTGAAATATGATTGGCACTATAGTACTGAGGCTAACCAACTTACCTATCTCAATAAACGATTAAAACTGGGGTCCACTATCTTCCATGTGATAAGGGAGAAAAGACAACATCATCTTATGGCTGTAACAATAACAACTAGTTGGTCACAGAAAACATAAAACCTGAGACAAGTATGTATCAGTTCGGGTTGCTATACTTCACATCAGTAAAATATTAGGTTAAATTAACACGATAAGAAGCGAAGGCACAATAATATTAACTACAATCGGAAGCTGGAATGATAAATGTAGTTCAACAGAAACAAATAAGATTGAATACCGAAAACGTGAATTAATGCTAAACTGAAAATTCAGAGTAAGAAAACAAATGAATATAACTAAGTCATTGCAACGGGTTTTGAAGAAATCCTACACAAGTTTGTGGGGGGTTACAGTGTGCATCGAAGCATATATCATGTGACTTGTGAAGTGTAAGTTATCTATAACATCGGAAATAAACAGAATCAAAATAAATCCGGATATTCACCTCACAATCAGCTGAAAACGACCGTATAATTAACTGTGTTCTACTACGTCACTATTGATGATCGTAAGCTATAAAAATTTTTACATGAATAACTATAATACTTGGTGAAACAATTTCTTCATTAACTATGATTCATTAGTTTATTTTTTTCTAGACTCAAAGAACTTATAATAAAGAATTTTCTGTCCAAAATGTTGAACAATGAGGATTTATTGGAATGCATCCAAAAACTATCCATTCAACACATACTTATGAAACAGAACGGTTATAGTTTACAGAGTAGTCTTACTTGAAGAACTATGCGTCGTTGATCCACTAGTTGTTGTTGTTGTTGTTGAAGTTGCACTTCCTGCTAAATTTGTCACAGGATGGGATGGATTCATTGAGAATTGTATGGGTGACGATGAAACAAGTAGATTGAAAGGTGAGGGACCGGGAGTGAAATTATCAGTACTCACAGCAGAAATTGCGGCATTAGTGGCTGCGGATACAAGAGATAGAAGGTGTTGTGGAAGATTGATTCCTGAACCGAAGGAAAATGATCCAGGAGGTCTAGTACCTGCGGATCCAGTGTTTACTGTAGGTGGATTACCTGGGGCACTTGGCTATAAAATTACAAAAGCGGATATTACACTAGTGAAAACGTGGAAAAAGAACCATACAAAATTAAAATAAAGCACTTGGTCGGTTTGCAGCAGGATTCATTGAGTTTAATATGAGAAACCGTGATCGATAAACATAAATGACGTAATTTTGTGATGTCGTTAAATCTATATATATATATATATATATATATATATATACATATATATATATATATATATATATATATATATATATATCATGTGCTAAATATTGGTTCTGATACTCTAAAATGTTTTTTTTAATTTTCTTGGAGCCACATTCAATACAGACATAATCCAAGAGTGTTTCTTGGTTTGAAAAAGAGGCGTTTAGAATCCGCTAAGAAGACCTACGATAACTGTCCACTGATTCTCAGTCATTCGCCTTGTAAAAATAATTACTTTTGCTAGATAAAACGTAAATTATACATAAATAACAATGATAACCGGCTTACTGGTACACATTCTGCAAACGAAGAAGGAACTTGAGACGGTAAACCGGATCTTGCTTGGTTGTTTAAACTGGCAGGTTCTACAGTTGCTTGCGAACGACCCAAACGACTAATATTAACACCATGTGTGGTGATGACATCATTAATTGGTGTAAGTGGTGGTGGTTCTGGTAAACTGTATGAAGTAGAAACTCTATGACCAACTTCACGTGAAAAGTGACGAGAATTACATGCCAAAAAAGGGTCAACTGAGTCGATTACCGTAAGTGGGGGGAGTGATGGACGAGGGACCATAGTTACGTTAGTATGAGTAGTTGGTAGTGAATCACTGGAAGTAGTTACAGTGCGAGTAGTAGATGGTATCGACACAACACTAGTAGGAGCATTTGTTGCAGTTACTGGAGATGAAAGTGATGCTAGAAATGGAGCAGCTGGGAGACTAAATGTGTTTACGGATATTATTGGAATGTCAAACCGATGGATAATAGCGGTGCGTCCATTGCCTAAAGAAGTTGTCGTCGTAGTCATCGCAGGGTTAGGTGTACCGGATGAACTTGTTACAGCTGGAACTACAAAAAATAAAATGAATTTGATTATTAAGTGATGGTATAAATCCGTAATAAAAAGCCTAACGAAATAAAATTAACAAATCAGAAGGAAACTAAGTTATAATGGTGAAACTGAAAATTACCAAAAAGGCTTACTATTTTCCGTTTGAAGGTTACTAGCGCGGTTTACATTAGACGCAGATCGACTTCGGATGCTAAAACGGAAAAGAATAGATTGATAAACATTAAACGTAATTTTAATGAACCAGAATACAGCTTCGAAAGATGTCACAACTAAAACGATTACAAAATCGATGGTCTGATACCATCAGTTAAATCGATTTGTGCTCACTTCAAGAAAGAATAAATACATATGAACAACGTTAAATTAAGTTTTATATTTGAGATTATATTAATTGACAATAAACATAAAACTGTCGCAACATATTTAGTCCATTGGATAATCAATCTTTTAGACCACACTTAAACATACTCTGATTTTTGAATATACAAATGATAATACCATGAAAGTAATTATCAAACGAAGTCATAAAACTATTGTAATAGTTACCGTGAAGTTGTGGAGCCAGTATTGGAAACAGAATGTTCGGATCTAATAATGCGTGGTTCCTGTCCGTCTCCAGTTGCCACAATCGTAAGATCAGGTGGTTCAACGCTAATCCGCGCACGTATCCGACGTCTATCAGTGTCCGAAACGCTTAAAACCCGTTGAGTACATCGTTTGACTTGAGGAACTGGCTTTTGTTCTTTTGCAGGATCACGCGTGAGGTCAATTAAAGTATTCGCGTCAGTATCCTGTCTTTGAGATTCATCACTTGTTGATGTTTTAGGTTCCGAGTTACTACTCTGAGAAGTAGAGACGGTACTATTGACCTGTTGTGTCTCCCGTTCTGTCATAGTAATCACGTTGAAATCAGATATCAAATGAAGCATATGGGCGTTCAAGTGTAGTAAACGGCTTACTTGGGAAAACAACTATAGAAGAAATAAAACAGAGATCAGATTGTACGTAGCCCAAAGTATGGCTAAGAAAAATGAACAATCAAATAGCCCTAGCCTGTTTGAAAAATTAGTACAAAACAAAAGTCTATAAATACAATCATGAAGTTGTTTTCTTGTCAGTAAGTATAGTAGACGCTAACAAAGTCCAAATACAATCATATTATTATAATGTAGTGAACGAGAACACAAGCAGAGATCACTAATGTATTTGAACACAGAATTAAGAATGTCTTTGTAGAATTTGAGAACCATACAGTAAATAATTCATTTGCAAAATGTCAACTAATGGTCTCAGACGTCATTGTTCTTTCGTTTCCACGTCAATCACTCTTTTTCCCCTTCTCTTTTTTTCGATTCTCTTAACCTTTTGCCGCCAGGCATTTCAATTTCGGTTGATGATACATACTACATATATTTGTCGACATCAGTAGCACACACTATAATATCACATCCACTCACAGCACGAATAAATTAGTAATGGAATACAACAATTAACAAAAGTATTTCAGTCAGCAGCAAATACTTCTTACAGTGTGGAAATACGAAAAGTATAAAATAAAGAAAATACTTCACATTTTACGAACTTCACAAAAAAAACCACGCATCACATCCTTCATATTTGTTTTTGTAAATAGGAACTCTATTGAAATGGTAGTAGAATATAGATCCTAGAACTTCGAAAGGACTACGCAGACAAATTTTAGTACAACAAAATCTTAGTCACTCAACTTACACGTGGATGCCAGTTCGATAGAGTTGTTCTCCTCGTAGTTTCAATATTTTGTGATGTTTGACCAATTTCTTCTAATGTGGAAGAGTCTTCAACAGTGGAGCAGACTTCAGAAGTAGTGCCAACAATCTTACTTTCGTTATGTAACATTTCTTCCCACAGGTCTAACTGTGGTTCTATTGAGTGCCACAGTTGACGATATCTGCTAAGCATATCTGCTAGCAAAGCCAAAGAAGGTTCTGGTGTGGAATTTATTGAATTATCTACAGTTTCTGTGTTATTTTCTTCCTCAGCTTTCGGTTGCTCATCATTATTAAGATTTTCGATTTCACCTGGGGGAATTTTATCAAATTCATCGGTATCCACTAACATGGGTGATGATTCTCGTCTGGACGCTAAATAAGAGCGATACATTAAAGTACTCATATAATTGGTATTATTACACAAAATAACACATGGGAATTGAAAAACAATGATTGAAACCAGAATAACTGCACTGGCATATATATATATATATATATATATATATATATATCTCCGAAATAGACTCAAGTAAGAGTCATTTTGGGGAACATGTACGTTTGTACACCACCTATTATGATAGTTGATGGTAATACTTCAACACTCGAACTACGATAACAGTGACTACAATTTCGAGATAATTTACTGATGAAGTATCAATCACATTGGATGAGTGGAAAATATTTATTGTAGTCAATACATCCAAAGATGAAACCCACCACATTACTTTACTAAAATCCCACTGATGAACCGAAATATGAGTATCGCTCAAGCTACTGATTCATGATACAGTGATGGGTGAAAATCTCAGTTAACGAAATCGTACAGTCGCTGAAAAACAATGACACAAGAGTCGGTGAAGAAACTAGGAATTACTGATATTTTGGGTTTATTCAAACCATGCCCATTAGGATTTCCACAGAATTTCTCTGTTTCCTAATATTTAACCGACTTTGTGTAAAATTATTTTGCAGGCCATCCGTAAAGTCATCAGAAGACATGTCAGTTATTTCGCCAAATGAGGGGTTATCAGTCAACCACACAGAATCATTCTATTTAAGGTTCCGAAGATTTGAAGAGTGCATAAAAATCTAAAACACTTCAATACAACAAACATATACACACGGATTGAAGGCTAAGATTTTAAAGTCATAAGACAGACCAATTTGAGAAAAATAAATTAAATGAACATTTTTCATTGACAAGTAATAGATACTCATCACAAGATTTAGTTTCCAATATCTGCTGCATTTACTGACCACTATGCACACAAAGATATTTAAGGCCGTTTACACATAATAAAGATATGGGACCTGTAGTATGGCCTTATACTTAGGTAATTAATTTCTGCAGGTGACTCAGTGATATTTTAAGCTATTGTAGACACATGAAATTTGGACTAGAATATAACGAACAATTAAAAAAAACTGTAAGATAATTTTTAGTAGCACTTAAAATATACTTGGATATTACAGAATATGCCAGATACTTAAGAATAGAAGACGATTCTGTGAGAAAGAGAAACTACCAACTCTCTCTCTGTCTCTCTCTCTCTCTCTCTCTCTCTCTATATATATATATATATATATATATATATATATATATATGTCAGTCAGCTACAACGTAGGACCAGGTACATATATGCATCGGTTCAAATTGCCAAACCTTATTAGCACAAGATGAACACCGAATTCATGATGCAAAATTACATTTGTCTAACTTAACGGCCTATATATATATATATAAGCCGTTAAGTTAGACAAGAGTAATTTTGCTTTATAACTGCATAAAATACTTAAAATCATTTATTTTTCAGTCGTTGTGAATACCATGATTTCTAAAAAGAAAACCATATATCGCCGGTTGTTTATGAAGTTTATTTCATAGTAATAAGTAGTCAGGACTTTAAATAAACGAACAGCAACACTTAACTTGGCGCCATAAACATTCTAATACATTATCCCCTCCCTTATCCAAACCTAGAACAAGATATATCAGCAACCACACACGTGATTTCAAGAACGCTTAACTCGAATATCCGGAATTAGCAAAACTAATCTCGGGACTTACTTTTATTTACATTATCACAAGCATTAACAATATCATCCTTCTGAACGTCACGTTGGTTTGTGGAATGCGATGTGGAAGGAGATGGATCAGTTTCTGATGGTTTTGCCTTGTTATTATGAGAGTCTTTATAGGGTATTTGGGATATTTTCTGAGTAAGGCGAGTGGCTTGGCGATGCAATTTATTGAAAGTATTTTCTCGTAAGGTTATTAAAGAATGATCATGAAGGGAGTCGCCAGAAAGATCACCATCACGAGAGAGAGAGAGGCTTGAAAAGGCGAATTAAGGGAAATAGAATGACGAACAAATCTTTAGAAATTATTAAACGGTATAATCTTTGGCATCAAAGCATTAAATATTGTACAAACACAAGAAAATTACATATTTAACTAAGAAAAGCTGGTATCATACTAAAATTAAAAACCCAGACAGAGGTCGAGACGTGAAAACTCAAGACAGTGCAAATTTGTGATCACAGGTATAAGTTTTGACAAGTTTATTACCATAGAAATCCAGACCAAAACACTTTACACTTGTAAAATATGGGAGCGGAAAACCAGCAACTGGTTTTGCTTAGTTAAAAGTTCAAGAGATCCCGACTATTGTGAATACATTTGTATATATAAGCGATTAATAGGATGACCCAGAAATAGTTTTACATAATTCTTGTAAATAATGAAAGCTTTTAAAATATTTTTAAATTCTACAACCTCTTCATTTCCTAGAAAGTGGACACAGAAAGCAAATACCAGTCAAGCGGCTGCATTACCTTGATTAGTAAAGATTGATAGCCTTAACAACTCTCCTCTTCTTTTCACCAAGTATCCCAAGCTTAAACTTTACCACAACTCATTCAGTCTACCGACAAAACGTAAGCAATCCTTCAAAGTCATATATGATCAAACACTTCCTTTCTAACTACGTTTTCTAATTTCTTTGGCCATATCTTGCAGATGTGCAGTAATAAAAAATTAATTGTGTCGCCTTTTGTCGTATTGGTCATTTTTGCCTCAAAAAATTACTTTCCATTTTTCACAGCCCACTGTTCATAATTGAGCTTTGATTTTTCAGTGTAAACCTATCCGATCGTTTTTCATGAAAAAACATCCCTTTTATATGACGGCTTTAAGTTTGATCAAATATCCTGTACTTCAATAAACTGATCAGTGGGAAATCTGGTACTTAAAAGTTATTATACGATTATAATCCATTTAAAAAGAATTCAGTCAATCAGCTACAACGTAGGACCAGGCACATATATCCATCGGTCTAAGTTGCCATACCTCATTAGCACAACAAGATGAACACCAAATTCATAGAAGTAGTTAATTTAATGATGGTAATATATAAAAGAAAGATTGTATATAAGGATATAGTACAGGAAAAAAGATATGAAGCAATTTTAATCTCACAGTTTAAGAGAAGATAGAATGTGTATACATCTACGCCATTGTGACCGATTCTGAGCCATATCACCCAGTCTCCAACCATTGGTTACGATAATCACGTGGACCCCAACCAAGTAGTCTGCATCTACCAACATGACTCAGACTGGAAGTTGGTGACTTCAAGCACTGATACCACGTTTTGGTTTGGCCGCCACTAACTTTCTTTCAACCATCCCCAACACTAGTCAGTATTGAACGTCGTGGTAATCGGTGTTCAGGCATACGTAATACGTAGCCCAAACATCTCAGCCAATGAGGATTCATCACCTCATCAACTGATTTACCATCATTCCCCAATACCCTGTGTCTAATCTCACCAATACTCACCCCGTGATCCTAGTAGATGAGAGAAATATTTCTAAGACATCTGTGATCAAATACTAGTAACTTACGAGTATTTTCTACCCTTAATGACCACGTTTCGCAGCCGTAAAGTAGAACAGAGTGAACTGCTGTGCAGTATACTCGTCCCTTAATTGATAGACGGATATCTCGTCTTTGCGATAGGTGACGTAAGTTAGCAGAAGTCAAACGAGTTTTTTGAATCCGTGCTGAGATTTTGTCAGACACCAACCCATTAGGGCTGAACAGACTTCCATGATAAGTGAAGTTGTCGACACGTTTGACTACTTTACTCCCTATCCTTAGTTCCGGGGTTGACGCAGACCAGTCCTGGAGCAACAATTTACATTTAAAGAGGGAGAAAAGCATCCCAAACATCCTTGCATTGTTACTCAGTGCTCACAGAAGACTCTGCATTTTGTCAGCGTCTTTACCAAACAGGACTATGTCATCTGCGTATTCTAAGTCAATTAGTGGACCCCCAGGTAGATCAATTCCTGAAAATTCAGTCAACGAGAGTTGAGTTCATAAGCTATAAGATATTAATTGTAACAATAGAACCTAAATAAATTACTAATAAAAGTGCAATGACAAGAAATAATTGAGTTGCACACTTTGTAGTGATAATGTTTCATACGTACACAGGTCACCTATTTAGCTCTTGTGCATGGTATCTCACCGACGTGTCGAAAGCTACTAACAATTGGGGAGGATATATGAACTTTCTTAAGCTTTCATGATGTCACGCCAGAAAACAGCAATTAACCGAACCAAATAAAGAATATTATAAAACACTTTCTCATGAAGATTTTGATGGATAACTGGATTATAAACACTTGTCTACAAATAGTCAGTTTATGGAACTGGAATATTAAATGAGAGCAGTTGCAAATGTTTACTTATTAGAGAACTGCTGAATAAGACTCCATACACCAATCTGTAATTTCTTTCTGAGGGCTTCAACAGTTAATGACCCAAAGACATGTAAACTTCTTGATATAAATGCTATCAAGGCACAATACATAACTACTCAGCTAAATGATATGTTGATTTAAAACATTATGACTACAAAACAGTAGGTCTTCAGACAAACACTTACTTAGTAGCTCTGCTCAGCTCGCTAACACCACTTAGTATCCCAGAGGTAATGTCTTGTATAGCTTGTTGCATGCTTATACCTCCAAACGTAAATCCGCCTAGACCAGAACCACCCATGTTTGCTGTTGAGTCAGCTGTTGCAGTTCCAGAAGATGATTGTTCTCTGGTAGTTGGAGGGGGCCTGACAACGAGATGTACCACTTTACCTTGAATACCTGGACCCAAAGAAAACTGAATTAAGCAATATCCAAATTTTCCTACAATTTTAAACACCAGTTACATGAACCACTTCATAAAAATCACGAAAGGTGTCCCAAAAAAGAAATCAGTGTGGTTTTGACGGTATAATAGCCTGTGAGATCGATGAGATCCTGCAGTCTGAGATTGAGTACACTATGATGCATTAGACTCCGAGTCCCAGTGAAACGATTAGTCATACTAAACAGCCAAACGCCGGTATGGTCTGAAGTTCAGACATTTGGCCAACTTTACTGGGATATGTTGAAAAGAAAACGTCCTTTTTGGATAACGAGTATCTCCAGTGATGCTGCCTTGTCAAAACAGAAAGGGATTTTAAAAAGGGCGGCCTTAGAACAAAAAGAACTACCCACAAAGTGCTAGTACCCAACTGGGACTGTGCAGCCGTCATCTGGGATCTGCAGACACGCTTTTGGTGCCCCCAAATGCCCTGGTACGGCCGAGAGTGTAGAGAGTCTGATCTTCCTTTCTAAATGCTCTCACATGGTCACACGTATATAGCCTGCACCAGGGAAGTCCTACTCACTGCCCTCTCGTGGCACTACTGTTGTTTACAAAATTAAGAGGACGAAGAGCGAATGTCCGGCGCTTTAACCAGTTTGGTGGACATGGAGACTCCACCTAGAGGAGTTGGGAAACCCTTATTGCAACCAATGGTGCTCATGGGCTCCAGGATCCTGATGGAACAAACGGCGTATAAATTAATCGTCGGTCACCAACTACCATGGGACTGCATCTCCTCACGATGCTCCACTGCCTTGTGGATCAGATCTTTAGGTTAAAGGCTCTGGGTGTGGCCCCCTAAAAAAGCACCTGCTTCAGTTCGGGCACCTGGGCAGTATCACAGCCCTCACACAAATCGGATGAGATTTGTGTGGCGCATATGCATCTGGTGCCTTTTTGTACCAATATTTGTGTTTAAATAAATAAATTATTGGTTTGTCAAGACCACTCCTGACAGTCTACTCTCCAGGCTTCTGAAAAAACATTGATTGCGTTACGAGATCAAACGTAAAGTGCTTATTAATGCTTATTTTTATTTTATTTTCAGGCAACCACTAACCACTTGTATAATGTGAACGTTACTCATCATGCTTGAATCCAACAATCATTTTGTGAATTGATGCCAAGTCTTGGTTTGATTACCCTGTTTTCTTCCTACTTAATGCTTCAGTCAGCGATTAGTGTCACAATGGGAGGTGATTAGAATACTTAACACATGTTTAAGTCACTTTAGCGGACAACAGTTTACAGCTCTACCAATGGACTCACCTGATTATCTACATCTGACCTACTCACATTCAAAGGTCACAGTTTACAACCGTTAGTTAAAGCTAAGCAGGCTGCTGCTAGTTTTCTGGGTCTCACCTACGTTATAGATGACATGAGTTCGCAAAACCCCGGTGCGCTCGATAAATTTATTCCAATATTTTTTAAAATTATGGACGACTTATGAGCGACGCCGAAGTGACCTTGGGAATGTTTGCCTACTTACTAGAACTAAATGAGGGTTACAAAAGTGTGAAGAATAAGGATTATGATTTATAACTGGTGGTTAGGGTTAGGAATTATACTTATGGTTTTCATCACGAATTGACATCAATTAAAATGCTAATGCGTTATTCAGACGAACGGGTGAATGAATTCCGTGTTAAAATCCGAGACCTGTTATTTTAAATCTGATTGGCTCGCCAATGAATTAAAATTCCGCCATTTACTGTCCTTGCTCATGATGTAGTTTGCAATCCTGTCACATTGCTGTTTAGTGATAATGACCTATTAGTTGTCATAACAGTTGGAACTAGAACTGAATCGGTTAGACAATGTAATGATGTTCACTAGCTCAAAATTCCATAATGCACCAAAACTAGAATTATACTATCAGTAAGACCAGATATAACAAAGCCATGAATAAATCAGGACATGTAAACACTATTTAAACTGAGAGGCCGACGTACGAGCACCGCGTAGCTATGACAGTTGTAATGGATCTAGTGGCACAATACAAGAATGAGATAGTGCTAACGTAACGAGTGACGAACACTAAGGTGGTTTGAATTTCTGGAGACTGGTATTCTACCAATTCGTGTAGTAATTTACAAAGATAAACTATTCAAATGAACTGAAAAATACTAAGAAGTCGTGCATCATTGATAGTGTTTGCTTGAAGCCTGTCAAATTTTGAGTCACAATCCAATTAGCTAAATGTGTCTAACCGAATAAAATGAAGGATATTTTTATACCGGTAGAACGGTTTTGTTGTAACAAGATTAACAAATGAATGAAATGCAACTAAAAACTTGCCGCATTCCAACAAGGTCTGTTCATTGTTCAGAACTCTTCCTTGAAAAATTAGGCGTTGTTGTTCAGCTGCGATGTTCTATCAAGTAGGTAAATTATGAAGAGCGACTAACCAACTTCTGTTCTATTTCTTTTTTGAAATCTTCGATTTTAATGGCCTAGGAATCAGTCAAGCAGAAAAGCAGTACTTACCTCATCTTCTATATGGAATACAGAGTCTCTACCATCAAGCGTTTTTACTGTCACGTCAAACATTCCCAGGGGTAAAAGACGTCGGTCAACAGACTAGCGGGACCGAAACTCTAGATCTCGTTGATACATTTAAACAATACCCGAATGAATGTACAAAAATTAGTCAGACTAATCACATGTCTTTCTCACATTTTGAGAAAACAGTTTCGTGTGTTCATTAATTACACAGTTCTCTTTCAAATGTATCCACAGAAGCTTCATTGTTTTATTAAACTTGTTTACTTAATATTCTATTTATAATTTTCAAGATAACAGGAACACAGAACTGGACCTAATGGCATGTACTCATTCTATTCTGCTTGGTTTTTATGTAATGGTGTCACAAGCAAAATAATCAGCAGCTGAACACTGCTTTAGCCAGAAATACTATAATATGAAAATTTTGTGGTTTTTATAACTATGATAAAAAGCTATGTTTCGTTTTTCTTCATGAATTTTTTTGTGTTATCGCATTTATTTTCAATGTATATTGTTAGGTTTTATCATCTGTGAGCAAACACTATCAATTAACAGTTTGGGACCCACGTTTCTTCTGGTGTTCAATTAAGCACTACCAACGTCGTTCCTCCTTCTCCTATACCAACCACTGCTTGATATTGATTAGTACAATCATGTTGTAATATCCTCCTGAGCTATTCTACACTACCTAAGACGTTTTTCCTTAAAAACGCCATTGGAATTTTAGCTCTCTTCTCCACGTTTATATCAACCACAAAGTAGGATATTTCATAACCGAGTGAATTCTACTTGCTCTGGTTACTTCAGAAGCGATGTATTAATCATCGTATAACTGTTTTCATCATTTTTTATTCAATATACAGCTTTGCTTCGCGTGTTATCTCTTTACCGTTTTCTCATTTCGCTTTGTCTCAATAAGATTTGTTTTTTTATGTAATTGTTTGTTTTGCCTATAATCATACCTTGATTAAGTTATTGTATGGGTTCACTGAAAAACTTATTCTAAAGTCAGACTATTAAATCAGTATAAAGCATCATGCTCAGTAACCTAGTTAAAGTTTAATAAGTACTTCTTTCATGTCATTGCCAACTAGGTTCATAAATTTAGATCTGCATGCAAAACATCTAGATTGGACTGTAGCGGAACATAAACCCTAAAAGCAAATAGTTCAGTATGTTTCCTACATTTGATACTGACCTCATTAGTTTTACCAAACACACATATCTGAAGGCGATCGGTCAGGCATCCGCTCCATTTCACACATGAGTACGCCATGTTACTCATCTCTCACGACCGTTAGCCAGCTTACATTAAACACTTCCCCGTATGTCGATAGCTTTTAAAATATATCTTCAAACCTCTCCACTTACGACTTGAATAAGTTGCCGCAATTCGACTGAAAAGGTGTCATGTGTATAGGCGTTATCGAATTCCAAATATCCGTTGCTTCCATTGGCAAAATGGGAAGAAGCGGATAGTATGGATTTTCCGCACCCATTTCAAATGGTTTCTAGAGGAGGAAAAATACTTTGGATTGAACAATTAATAAACATCTGATTCACACAAACTGAGTGCTGTAATATCTGCTTGTGTGGTTGATAAATTTGGAAACCTCAAGACTTCTGGATTTTACTGAATCAATCGATACTTGGGTCGGAAGACATGGTTATCAACTGTTCTTTATTTCGATAGCAAACGCCATATCATTTACTTACTTACTTTACTTACGCCTGTTACCCCCAATGCAGCATAGGATACCGGTGAGCACTCATCAACCCACTCTGTCCTGGATCTTCCTTTCTAGTTCTACTCAGTTGTTGTTCACTTTTCTCAGGTCTGTCTCCATTGCTCGGCGTAATGTGTTCATTGGTCTTCCTCACATCCCTTGGCATTCAGGGCTCCATGTGAGGGCTTGTCTTGTGACACAGTTGGGTGATTTCCTGGACGTGTTTCCTATCCACTTCTAGCGCTTCCCCCGGATTTCTTCCTCCACTGAAATCTGCTTTGTTTTCGCCCACAGTAGGCTGTTTCTGATAGTGTTTGGCCAGCAGATCCGAATGTTGATAAATACCTGTATCTTCCGGATTAAGATACAAACGTCATGTGCTGGATAAATAATATAGCTACTGCGTTTAAACTTGTCGTAGAACATTTATATGCTGCATGCTTTAAATTCTAGTGGTTTCAGTTGTCTTGTTAAAGTTCTAGACTAGTTGATATCGGCGGTAATTCGTTAGACTATTTTAAATCCACATCGGGTGTCGCGGTAAACATGGATTCAAATATCTTTGAGAAAGTTAATTCAACATATCATTGAGAGAAATGAGAGAAATGTTTATTATATTTCGATTCTTGATTTTACAACATAATTTCAAGAAAGATAGGATTTCAGGTCGTTTTATAACTACTGTTGATAGGAACATATATGGTATATAAAAGAATCTTCTAAATCCTGAGAACCTATTCTACTTCTATTCAACAAATTAGGAAGTTTACTTTCTGGTCATTTCCCCGTCATATCATTTAAAATACGTTCAAAAGATTAGCATGTTCTCTGAATCCTTCTATCAGCGATTTATAACTACAGATTTAAACTCATGCTACGATGTGCAGTTTCGGTGCAATAATGGCATAACAAAATTCACGAGTGCCTGATTGCTAATATAAGTTATCCTTAACTGAGAAAGCAGCCTATAAAAATTTTGTCGTGCACTTATTCGCATAGGGAAAGGCATTGGTTTATTTGTGGAGATGCTGGTGGTAGGCTTGTTATGGTGTTACTTAACAACTTGACATCTTGCTACTAAATGTGGATGGACCTACTATACTACGGAAACCTTAACATCTAGGTTTTAAAGAAGGTTATGACTTAGTGAGGAAACTTAGAACCAGGAATCAGAGTTGAAAATTATGTTTGAGAATTACGGCTTGTATTTTCATCGCCAAGTGTCATCATTGGTGCAGCTAATATTCCTCTGAGGAAAGAAAATGGTAGACGTGTTAATATATAACAACATAAGTTTGATTGGTGAAGAGTTGACCGCAAATATCTTAGTGATGCCGAGACATTATAGCTTAATTATTTATTCGCTCCATTATTTTTAGAGGCATTATATTTTCTACTACTTTATACTGAACGTTGAAGAGTTTTGTTTGCTTAAATAATGACAATCTGGAGCTTCAGCTGTTCTGTTTCATGATCAAAACAAAGACTACCTCACCATTAGTGTGGTTTCTTCCATTGCTAAAACGAGGGGTACTAATCAACACGAAAAATGTTCCTTTCGTAGTTAGTGAATAAGCCTCTTCTGTGCTAAAGTTAAAGGAGCTTACATAGTTAAATATTCCCATTTCCTTATAGTAATTCATGTTTCAAATATTGAGATACATAGTGAACGAATTTTAAAGCTACTTAGACGCTTTCATGAAACAAATGTGACGGGAAATCGATTTAATAATAATATATTTCTGTCAGAGCAGGTACACGCCATTTTTACAGCCATGATCTACAAATTACAGCATTATTTCGCCTACAGTATGCTTCTCACGTAGAGTCGTTAGATAGACGGGATCAATAAAAGTGAATAACACTACGTCCATGCAGATGCCTAAGGGCGTCGATGATTAGATTTATGCTTTAGTATTACACTGTCCTTTTTATTTCGTGACTAATAAGCAACAGTGAATAAGAATATCCTCAGAATCAAAAGGAGACCTTAGTTTAGGTATGATTAGTGACAGGACCGCATAAATAAATGTTCGGCGTACAATTCCGTATTGTACTTGATCACCAAGAGTGAAAGCTTGATTGTCATCCAACAAAGGCACTCTCTCATGCACAGCATTAGTTCAGAGACTGAACTTAAAATTGAGTGATGACGATTTCACATCAAGAAACTGATGTGTGGGCGAGAATGATAATGATTGGTTGTCTCGATGAGTCAGACATTAGATAGGATGACAGATGTTGTGTTATATATATTCCCCTATCCTTATTATGTATTGACCGTTATTGATGGACTGTTATTGATTGACTGTTCCTTGTGTCAAATTTTGGTGTGCAATATATTGACGTTATAGTTAGGCTAATCTCGTGTTCTTGATCTGAGTCGTGTTGAAGTCCTGTAGAATAGACACTGGGTGGGAATCTAGTGTAGATATTCGTCTAAGGTAAATTAGCGTCCCACATACGTGTAAAAAGTGAAAGGACTGTTATAACAAAAAACCCTATCGTTATAACAAGCACTCTATTGTTTATAACAGAATCAGGTGGCTAAAAACATACAACATACAGATTTTCTACCACACTATTTGTGTTCCAAAACACCACACAACCACAGCGATTTTATATTGAATCAACCACTGCCTACTGAATTATTAAAACTAGCGAAAGATGCTTGCAAGTAGTTTGAAACTGTCATAAGTGCAGTCAAAAGTTTGTAATACTCAGCGCAAGAGTAGGCTTTTCAACATTTTTAGGGGAGATCCAGAAAAACCCTCAAAAATGCCGACGGAGGTTCTGAAAACACTGAGAGGCATCTAAACTAATCAGCATTCAATAGAAGTTTCGCAAGAAACATCTAGAAAGGGGATAGGCACATGTGGAGTTTCTGATCATATGATTACCCATACTACCCTTACTAGCGTTCCGAAAACCCAAGGCCATCTTAAATTCTATAAAAGCCCTAGATATCCTGTATATAAACAAAACCTAGGAGTAAAGTGTTTCTCCTATATTCCGCGTCTTTTCTCTCATGTTCAAGTCACTATTGTGGGGAGTAGTGTAACGTCGTGTACTATATTACACCTACATAGCTTATTCTAGTTTCTGGACAAGCCAATTCACCTATAACGTTATGAGTCATATTTTGATCTTGTTAATTATTCCCTTATTGACCTTGACTATTTTTTTATATGAGCGTATGCGTATGCACCCTTCTTATCCTACCTATCACATGTCTGTCATTCATTTTAGTCTGACTATAAATGTTGATTAATGCTTGCTTATTACGAGTTGGCTTACCAGCCATCTCCCATGTATATTACTTTTTCTTCGCTCGCTAACATTTACTCATGTGCTTCTAGACTATGTTATTTGTCAATAAATATGTAGTTGCCACTTCCCTTTGTCTCCTGATATTATACACCGTTCAGACTGATATAATAACGGTTATCGAGACGATCGATTAAGAAAGCACTACACTACACTATGTAGATTAATCCTGGGGGTTACTGGAAGAGCTTAGGAACGAAATCTAACGTTCAATTAGAAGACTTATCACCTTTATAATGGAGAAAAGACATCTCATCACATTGTGAAGGACTTAGAGTCATCATTCCACCAACACTTTGATCTGCGGTACTAAACAACTTTCACCTCACATATCTTGGAAAACAGAAAATGCGATCGTCAGAGTTATTGGTGCCCAGTTGTATAGTAAGCTTATTGGGAATCATTGGTTTGCATTTATGAACTGTGGTAACGTATTCATGAATATTACTGCAGCATATATTTAAACTAACATTTTGCCTCAGTTGTTATTGATTCATATTCCGAATTTAAACTCACGAACATCCTAGCATAAGTTTTATCCAAAGAGCAACGAGGAAGACATATAGCCGTGAGGAGATACCCAATCTATTAGAAACGGATAATGGAACTCACATCACAGAAAGCGTTTACCAACCGGTTCACTGATATTGGATGCCGACGTCTATTTCTGATCCACAACATTCTCAGTCTAACTGTTTGACAGGAAATTATGAGTCCTATCATATCAGCTAAGAAAGTGTATCGACAACTCCTTACTTCAATATGGTAAAGTTGAACATTAGGGGAATTATCACACGGTATAAACTGTTTAGCTTACTCGAGATTATTCAATGAATAAAGTATAATCAGAAGCACTGATTTACCAAATAAGTGAATGTTGACTACCTACAGGAATTATTATTCAGAGAATGGATAGTCGAATGGTAAAGATTTTTGATTTGAATGACCGTATAGTTCAGAGAATATATAAAGACTAAGTGATGGTCAATGAAAAGAGTCATTCGGATTTCAACTCTGACCAATCCTTGCCCTGTAGATAATTCTGGACTTCAGAGGGATAGCTTAAATTTCAACTCTACTGGTTCAGGTAATTCTGATTGATGAGGAAAATGAAAATCAGAATGCTGACCAGTTGAGATCTGACAGAATCAAGATTAAATCTAGACAGAAGGCCGTGTGGCGAATAACTAATTCAAGTACTGTACAATTATATTTGTTTGAAAACTTTGATAAAACAGAACAGTTCCATACTGCGCACCTCAGATTCGAGTGCTTGTATTAGTCTTGTCGAAGTTCTGCACCAACTGGGATTGATGTTGATTGGTTACACTATTTCAAATTCACACGTTGCTCTTGTTGATCCCAAACCAATGCGAATTTGAAATTGTGAAGGCTAGTTAAGATACTCCTGTTCTTATCTAATGTAAATTCAGAACAATCTGGTTGGATAAGAAACTGTACTGTATAAATTTAGATATACACTATTACCTAAACAAATATTACCACTCATTTGCTCAACCAACACAAATAATGAAATTACGTCAAGTACATAAATTAATATAGGATTCACATATTTACCAGTTCTAAAAAATAAACGTTCTAATTGTGCAGGACCACCATTCCATTCTTTCCGGAAAAATCGAGTACAGTCCCAACTCTATAAAAGTGTCGGCGACAAGGAATTGTAAGAGTGATTAGTTGTTACAGCAATAAATGTTTCCAGTTCTGGAAGGGTGCTTTAATTCACTATACAAAATACACAGCACCAGTCGGTTCAAGCAAAATAATGAAAGAGGACACAAATGAATGATACCTGTCATAACCGAATGTTAGGTAAAACCGCAATATTATTGGTTCTTAACCATACGATCTTTGAAGCCAAACATATAACTAAGAAGACATACGTTAAAAATTAAACGCATGGATAGTCAGATTTGGTGAGGATGGGAGGAACTGAAACTCTATGAACTGACCGTGCACGTGTGCTCACTCAACGTTAAATCATGCTTTGTCATACTAAATACATTTACATATTACATAAACACGTACTACACGACCTTACAACTATATCATCAGATTCCATCTATTTACCTTGTACAGAACAATAACAGGTGTTTTAGGGTCTGAAAAGTCGGTACGTGACTAATTGTGGCGAGATGAAATCATAATTCAATTTTTGAGCGAACTTTATTTTGTAAAATAATTGTGAAGGTTTTCTAACAATTATGAAACCATAGCGTGTGTGGGGAAGAGGCAGCATACAATCAGTAGATATACCACTAGAAGGTACTTAATCGGAAGACATCCATCGAATTGCAGTTGAGCGATTATTATGACTCGTCTAACCCCAATAAAGATACACTTTAAAAAGCAGTAAAGACTAACTAAATTGGTTTGAATTCAAAATATAGTACTTCCATTGAAAACAACTGCAAGGTAAAACTAATATACACCAGTTAACAAAGAAAACCGACAGACAATGACACATTTTATAAAAATACAAAGAGGTCTCAATATATCAGGTTTAATGAAAGGAATATGAAGTCAAGTTATTTTCTCAATTACATACAGTTTAATATCAAGCAAAAAGGTTAAATTTTACAAAACAGTATTGTATAAAATTTAAAAAATAGATTTGTACGTGGTGAGGTATAAAACGTCGTTCTAAAAAAAATGAAGAAACACAGTTGCAAAGTTCTACACATATCAAAATATCACTGTATAGTGACATGTACACGTAAACGTGTATAAGTCAGAGTCTGGTTTGTTATAAAAAAAGGGAAATACATAAGGATAAAAATTTAAAAACTGGCTTTCATACAAAAAATGTAAAGGATAATGCAAGAAATGAATATCTACAAGTCAAAATTAGATTACAAAAAAAGTAGCATCTGTTAAAAACGTCAGTCATTTTTCTTGAAATACTTTGTGATCGGATTATGTACGGAAGAACACATTGCTGTCATTCGTCGACGCCGAGAATTCTGTTCCCAAAAAGTAATAATAATAAATTTGAAAACAATACATTTATAGGAAAACTAAAATAATTTATTTTATTTTGTATATTTATGATACATAAAATCTAGGTAAAAACGTCTCCTAAATGCCATAGTACAGTTGAAACTTAGATTTTACTACTCTGCTGTATTGTAGTCAACGATTATGTGCTTATAGACTCTCCTAAACAAAGCCCGAAAATTATGTTCACATGAAGAAAGTGACTCCAGTTAAATAGAAAAGTGGACATTCAGGTCGGTGAACACGGAAGGTTCATCAAGGAAAGTTGAGAAGTCAGTGATGTTTAGTTGGCAACTACTGATCTAACAGATGAAGTACAGGTTTGACAATGGAATTCAACTGCCAAAACACACAAATCGCCACTTTCAGATGATTTACCCTTGATGCTTCTTAAAGTCCACAAAATGCAAATTACTTCTCCAAGAGTGGCATGAAAATAAAATGCACTCGTTAACAGAACAGCATCTGTCCTGGTTATTTTAACATTGAACTATGTATTACGATAAATACTATTATTGTTTGCAACATTACTCACTACAAGATCGTGTTTTCTTCCATCTTTTCTCAAATTCATCATTTAGCTTCATAAGGGTGATTTTTGATACCATATAGTAGGGAAACTCGTTGTGGTCGAAAAAAATAAATAAATGTATACTAAATAGCATGGATAAATAAGGTTATTGTATAGTTTTTTTTGGTAGATTGAGTTGACATAAGTGAATAGAGGAGTCAGTATGTTGACGTTGGTCTAAAAAGGAGGTTCTAAAGGATTGTTGGGAACAAAAAAGATGTTTTGAAATACTTACAGCCGCTGAAACAATAGGAGAATTTTTGGGAGAAGCAACCGATTGTGAAGTTGATGGAAATGCAGTTAGCCGACGTCTTTTTTCTGTGACACGATTTACACTATTAGGTAAATCAATTCTACTAGAATTGACAAGAGTTGGACTTGAACCAGGAGAAACATCAAATATATCTGTCCTTCTACGTTTTCTTGATTCCATTACAGATAATTCATCAACTGACTGAAATGTGGAAAAAAATGTAACCAAGACTGTTTCTATTATATAACACAAGCACTTTAAAACCAGCAGTGTTGATATATATATATATATATATATATATATATATATATATATATAGTAAAAAATCTAGGACTTCAGTAAATTTATTCGATCGATTTACAGGAATGTTCATGTGTCTGAAATCTTACTGAAATGATAACACAATGATCATGGATACAATACCTATAGTGTAATCTGCAAGGTTACATGCTGTTGACAGTCTTCACTTGTGCAAGGGGTAACCGTTGTTATTTGTTTTCATTATAAGGTGATGATCTGCTGTACAAAACTCTTGATATGATTTGTTACTTTATATACTTCTCTTTCAATCTCTTTGCTGAGTTAAAATTTCATGTGTCGGTTAAAGACTGTTGAATCACAAAATGCTACTAACTATAAGGTAAAAAGTTTGACTGAGTCGTATTATGTAAAACTATACTGGGTTACCAGAGTTTACTAAGTATCAACTATCTTCAGAATCATATGGACATGGCTTTTCTAATACCATACTGGTAGTAATGGAATAATATAGTTGCTAAAATAATGAGTTACCAACTCGGAATCAATGACTTAACAAAACAAACACATATAAAGTAAAGTTAAAACTTACTTTTTTAAGGTTAAAATAATTTGAAATACTTATGATGAATTAAAAGATCTCTACTTTAGAAAACCGTTCCCAAATGTAATGGTAGAAATTACTGAGAAAAAACCTTATTTCTACCTTATAAAAATATATCACAAATATTATTTACAACGACTAATTTACCGGTTGTGACGTTGGAGTATTGAAAATTGATTGATTTAGGGATAATGGAAATCTTTTTGATGGTGTAGTCGGGGAATTTGGATTATACGCAAGTCTGTCTACAGAACAACGAATAATTGGAGACTGATTTAACACTCGTCCATCAACACAATCCAAAGGAAGACCTTGCGATGAAATCGAATGTAACAAATCGTCTGGATTAATATTTTCAGAATCTTCTGATAACAGCATGCGTGAATAAATAAATAAATAAAATACACAATTTTATTTGTCGTCTTAACAAAAAGTATATAAAATAAAGTGATAGTGACAATAATAATAGGCGATAGAAAGGTTTATGAAGTTTATTTATTTATTTAAACACATAAATATTGGTACAAAAAGGCACCAGATATATATGCGTCACACAAATCTCATTTGATTCGTGTGAGGGCTGTGATACTGCCCAGGTGTACAAACTGAAGCAGGTGCTTTTCTTAGGGGGCCACACCCGGAGCCTTTGACCTAAAGGTCTGATCCACAAGGCAGTGGAGCATCGTGAGGAGATGCAGTCCCATGGTAGCCGGTGACCAACGATTGATTTATACTCCAATTGCTCCCTCGGGATCCTGGAGCCCATGAGCATTATTGGTTTGCAATTAGGGTTTCCCAACTCCTCTAGGTGAACCCTCCGTCCCCACCGACCCGGTTAAAGCGCCGGATATTCGCTTTCTATCCTCTTAATTTCGTAAACAACACAAGTTTTCTTCGAAAAGTTTTAGTCGGTGTTATTTTTCCTTCCATATTTTATCTATTTTTTGCCGTCGTTAAAGATCGAGACATTCCTTTTCATAGCTTGTTCATATTTTGATTTGTTTACAAAAATCTTGTAAATATTATTATAAATAAATGTACGACTGACCGACTCTCTTACATGATTCATACGAAACTTCTAGAAGACAATCAACTATACTGTCATAAAGATTACAAGTTTTGACAAGATGGTTAGACAAAGTGTAAAGTATGAATAATGTATTCTAAAGTATCGACTAGAACATTAATGTTATTTATGTGCTTCATTTATGTCATACACAGAAGTAGTGGATTTAAACATAATCATGTCAAAACTTCTCAAAGTGTGCAACAAACTAAACAGTACATGTATATATCACGATATTATTTTTCATAAGTAAAATATGGAGAGTTTATTAATAAAGTAAACCTACCCATATCGAATGGATGAATAAGATACTGTTCTGGTGTTATAGGAGATTCAATTTTTGTTGGAGTATTAATGAATGGACTACGATTGGCAGAGTTCAAAGAATAACAGCCTAAAGGGGGCGTACTCGGTGCAGAATGGATATTTTGAAATCCTGTTGATAATCCTGGAAATCGTTGTACAACCCCACCTAAAGTTTCGGTAAGCGTTGCTAAACTTGACAACCTTTTTGTTTGTAGATTTGAATTTAGAACTATACCATTTGTACTCATACTGTTTGACAATGAAGATAAGGCGACTAAAGATTTATTAGTAGTTGATGTCGAACTAGATGAGTTAACTGGAGAAACAGTCTCAAGGAAATGTCGGATATTTGATTGTCGTCGACGGGCTGAAGTCATGGGTGATCGAGAATTGAAATTGGGTAGAGAAAGATTACCCAATTTATTATTTACATTATTCGACTGTGATGTAGTTGAAGATAAAATATATTTCTCTAGTTGACTTGTGTTCATGAGTGATTTTGACGGTGAAATAAGTTCAGCGAGACCTATGGACCAAAAACGAAGACATCAAAGAGTAGAACATTTCCTCAGGTAAAATCACGTCACTATCGATGTTACAATTATAAAGGAGAGATTTAAGTGCAGAATCAGTCATAACTAATTGATACAATAATCAGACATTCAGCATTATTGACTGTTTTTACCCGTGATTAACTATATGCAATCTAATTAACAACACACATATTATAGTTTTATTTCGCTATATATGCTCAGTTTAATGAATATTAATTCTTGATATTTGATTTATTTGGGGTATAGGACATGATTCCAATAGTAAAAAAAAGTGGATTAATTTCCAAAGTACTCAACTTTCAGCTATTCGATTAAAGGTTTAAATCCCAGTCAGCTGAATTCGATTCGAATACGCCGATAATATAATCTTTAATGTATGAACTGGCATAAAACTATATCGATCAAAGCTGCCACATATAAAAGCAGTACAACGTGAAAGAAAACTTACGAAAAGAGAAGTAAAGGACATGACTGAATTTCAATTATAGTAGATATAGAAGCATGGGCGATGTTAGTAACAACATGAAAAAAAGACAAACAGTTAGAGCAGTATCTATAGGTAATATCAAGAAAGTATTATTCACAGAGTTAAAATTACGACAAAGAATTAATATTTTGGTTGTGCACGTAAGTTTACTCTGAATTCAACAGAAAATGTCAGATTTGCACAATATGTGACCCTTATCAATGCATCAGAATAATGAAAACAACGGTTTGTCACTATAAACAAATAAAAATCGATATCAACAGATGTGCAAGGGCAATACCATTTAGAGCCAGAGTATACCAGATTGCGTAATTATACTCCGAATCTAAATAATTTTCATTAGACTATTTAGTAAATGTTTGCTATCTATATTATGCAGGATTAAGCAATTCACTAGTGATTAGTTACAATTGAGTTCCACCAATCAAAGAGTATATTACTGAGTGTTTTATTAGACTTTAATCAATAATTTTATGTGGTTTGTGAGTAGGTGATAAACGCGTTGAAAAGACAAATTAATCACTGTAATGTTTACCTGCTAATTCCCCCGGATCCGGTAAAGTATAACGTCGAGCGGGAAACATATTCCAAACAAATGCTTGAGATTCATCTGACAAAGTAACAATCCTAGTAGGATCACCTTTACACCAACGTGGAACACTAACTTCACCATTATGACCGGAAAGAACTATTGGTTGTTGTCGACGTTTACCAACAGCATAAATATGCGCCCGACGATCTGAACTACCACAAATTATGTAGGAATCATCTGGACTGATATCTAGTTTCACGTAGAAAGAATCTGTTACATGACCAGTATAAACGAAAACTGAAATGAAAAATAAAAAGACTTAAGATAATAAAATCTGTAAATCGATAAACATTAGTGTTATAGCGTAGTGATTACGTGTTTGGAATAAAGCCCAACTTACACTCAAAGAGCTTAACAGACGATAAACAAGAAAAATGACATTATTTCGATACATGCTGATTTAAACTGAAGTTATAAGTTCTTTACTGAAATAAATATTATTATGAAGATACTACTCCATAAATCTAACACATTCAACTGTATATTCAAAAAATAATTATATTGTTTCAGTATTTTCTATCGGAACGATGAAAAAGAGAATACTAGTTAGATAGTTATATTTAAACTCGTAATTTACGTTCGAATTCTCATCAACTGTGCTACATTAAGAAGCAATCGGAATCTTGAACTGCATAGATGCTGTGAAAGTAAATGAGCATCTAGGGATAGATCTCATCATGGACAGATACCAACTAAAAGCCGTATGAAGAACAGAGAGTATTACATAATTGTCATTTTAGTTTGAAGCCTGTTAGCGATGGGAAACTCACTATCTCTTATCTATAAAATTAGATGACCATTTTGTTGTATAGTGAACTATTTGACTATAGATTTAAAAGTGTTATACTCATTGTCAGATTACAAAGCTCTACGTTTTGATTTTGACTGAGGTTGTACGGATCAGTTCCAGAGAAAGCTTATATGAAAAGAAAAACTTGGTTAGTCATTCTGGAATCGATGTCAGCACGCGACAGGAACTATCTTGAAATTGAACAAAATTCTACAAACTATTCAAACGAACAATTAATCATTGATTAGAATTAGAAATGCCCAAAGAAATTAATTTGTTGATTTAATTGATAGTGATTGTTTTCAATATTCAAGTGGGTAACGTTATAAATTGGGAAGTAAAACAGAGATACTTGACTGAATAAAAAGAGGAAGGAAGCGTAAAATCGGAAATCATTTTATTATTATTTCTTACTCTGATCATAAAAAAAGGTGAATGAGAAATATAAAAATCTTAGTATATTTGTTGCATTACAAATAAACTACTAAAAGCAGAAAGTTGTACTTTGTTTTTACTTAAAATTATTCTTTGAGTAGTGAAGACTAGAAGGAACTAGACAAACGTTACTTACTTTCCAATGAATTTAGAGATAAGCTAGTAGTTTTACTTTGAATTGAACATGAAACATCGAATTATTTAGACCTAAATCGCAAAAGGAAATACTTAATATAAAAATAATACAATTATAGAGTCATCTATTGTTTTTGAATTACTACCATCATAAACATTCCTAAAATGATTATTTGCTTTGCGAAAATTCAAAAATTTTAGGTAGAGAATTATACGGTCATTCGTATACATATGCTTACCTGGTTGTGTAGTTGACTGTGTCAGGTCATATTCATATACAACATTATCTAGGCAATTGGCAAATAGACGTGTTCTATACGAATTGACTGCCAAATCCGAATAGCCTGAAATGGAAGATTGATAATTTTGTAAGTTTCCATAATCATTGAGACTAAAACTAATAATAATGAAATATTAAACAAGCGATGAATTTAAAAAGGGATTTTCATCATTTATTCAATTAAAGTTTAGTCGTTCGGTATTTTTAGCTCTGACTGATTTCTAACTATTTAAAATAATAATGAGTAAGCAAGAGAATTAACATTGACAGACGATTGGATGGAGTAATTTTTAAAAATTGCTAACAATGTACTCTTGCAAAGCGTAATTTCATGTTGACATTCTTTTTTTTTGATTTATGTAACTCAATCAACAAGTACAGGTCAGTGTACCCAGGTTTAAGTCGAAAAATTCAGTTGTATATATATATATATATATATATATATATTATATATCGTGACAGATTATAATGGAGGCTTATCAGACCCCGATAATTGATCAAGGGTATCATTCTACAATCTTAAGTCAAACAGGTTTTATAAGTTGCTCCATCTTACTTATCAGTTGTACGTATGCATAAACTATAATTAGTTTTTATCGAAATCGCATGGATTCTGAACTAAATTATATATGGATAATTGATCTCAGCTCTTACTAATTTTTTGAATGAACTTTCCATACACCAACACTAATTTCCCAATCATTTATGTTTGTCTGATCTGTACTGGATGCTTATGTCTTTAACCAGGTGCATCAAATCTTTTATCTGTATTACGAGTATAGGGGTAATGTCTTCGGTTGTCAATCTGCTACATTATTAATTTGTAGATGCATTATTTACTGTTTATATTGGCATGAAATAATTTAAAAGTACAGAGGATTTCCTAAACTTATGATGTTTTTTTTCCGATTTACACTAAACTCAGTCGTGTCAAAAGATGTAGACTACCTGGGATAACTCCAGTCAGCAATTGGAGATGTCGGGTGACATGATACGGAGTAGATTTCAGTAGCGTGTATCTTTTGTTTTCCCTTATATCATGAGTTTCAATATTCATTCATATATATCTTCCTTTCGAGTGATGTATATTAATGTTTAGTCTTCCTTACTACTACTGAAAGTAGTATAATTTCAACTTTTTTCTATTCAATTTGATAATTTCATTTTTTTGTTCTGAAGTAGTGTAGCACCTTGAACCGACGGACGTTTGTTTCAGTCTCTACGTTGCCTATAACTGATTGACTAACGTAAATCTGTGTGTATTTTAAAGTTTGGCTGTACATAGAAGTAAATGTTAATTAATAGCTGAGTGAGTTTGCAGAGATTTTCATTAGCTATCAGCTTACAAAACTGAAACATGTTGATGCTATGCTTCTTGATTACTTGTAAACGATAAATTTAACTAGTGAGAATATATCTGAAATCAAAAGGTATATCATGCAAATATTGGACACGGGTCATGAATAGAATCCCACCACAAGATTATTTATAACAAAAGCACAAAACATCGTTACTATTTAAAGAATTCAGAGGATGGATAATACTTAAAACTGGAAAAAAAGGATAATGATAAAGGATGTGAGATTTCATGAAACACAATTAAGTAATTAAACAAAATAACCAACTACAAACGATTTTTGTTACATTCTAATTACTTAACCCAGCGAAAAGAGATCACACTGATCAAAATGGCACTAACTACGCATTTTAATAATCATCACAATCATTATTATCTGATTCTATATAAAACAAACAAGTGTAATAGATTTAGTAGTAGTTAGATAACTGACTTTCATAGTTTTTTCTCTAATAAATCTATTTCTAATGGAAAATTTAACAGAAAGAAAAAGAGAGTGATCGATAATTGAACTACCATGGTATTCACTATCATAGTTGCAAACTTCAAGAAAATGGTTACATTACGAAAAGTAGAGTTATACAAGAGAGAATATTTTCAAATATTAACAATGGAACCAAAGATACACTACAAGTGACCCTTCCTGCATGTTAGTTGAGTTTATTTCGACGATATACAATTCGAATTGTTCTTTAGGTCAATTCAAAAGCGATGAATAGACTACTCAGACCAACGTTAGCTGTATTTACAAGTCTTCATAAACTTACACGAGGAATTACATGATAACGAGGATTTAAAAGATGCCTTTAATTAAATCTTTAAAGGGTATTACTCCATTAGATTATTTTCCCTGAAAAAACGCAAAAAAAATATTTTGAATTGAAACTACTTACCACTTTGTTTTTGTGAAGTACCTGAATAAGGGAAAATAAATTTTGGTTTTGCTTGCTTTTTACTTCCAACACAAAACACTCGTCTTAAATCCCACATTTTGATAGACCTGTTAAAAAGAATGAAGGAAAATAAGCGAATCAAGTAAAAATGTGAAAACAGCTTTACGCTACGAGACGACAAATTAATTAGAGAATCATTTAATAACAAAAAGTACTAGACATCTGTGTAGTCATAGCTTGGAACTCTCCAATAAAGAGCATTCAAGAACCGACGATCATGTACGCGATGAGACGATTAAGTCAAAACCCACTCTTGTTCACAGGAATATGGCGTTGATTGACACCAATGTGCACTAAGAATTATTTTGCAATGTTATTAACAAAACACATAGTTGTGATCATAAAATGATTTGGGATTTTATGGATATAGGTGATAATTTAATCCATTTATCCAACATCAGGTGAAACAGTACTGAATCTTATACTTGTGCGTATATCTGAAAGCTATAAATTCCATACACTATGAGATTAGGATCTATATTATTCACTGAGGAAAACAAACTTTGTACTATAGAATCTTTCAGTTAAAAAAATTGCAAGGTAAATGCAGTCAGTCAGAACGTAGAACTTCGTACGCACGTACGTAAATGTACTTAGTCACCGAATGCTAACTGAAATAGTTTCTTGATATCAATCATAAAAAAGTAATTAGTATGCGGGATGAAGTAAGTTACGATCGATAACATGGTAACTGATGCTGTACGTGTTTTTTCAACGTGAATACAACCCCACGTTAAAACAATAGCCACGCTCTTGAAACACAGTAGATCTTTACGTTGGGTGATTGGAAATATTCTACATCAAACTAAAAGCACCAACAAAACATGCCATCAAGGTAGAAATTAAATTTGTTACTATCTGGAAATTGATTTGTTCAAGTGTTCTGGTAACCAGATACACAGTCTTAATGACAGTGTGATTGAACTTATTGGGCAGTGTTTGCACTGACAATCTTCCGAAACAACTTTGGGATGAAATAGATCTAGTGGTGATTAATCTATAAAATATCACGTGTCACACGATTACACAATTGAACTTACCCATCCGAAGATCCTGCAGATAAAAAGGTATTATCATCCACAAACAAGACGGAAGTGACACTTTGAGCATCAGTCTGCAATGAAAAGTTGTAGTACTTATGAGGAAACGCATATATTTAGCAAAATTTAACGGTTAGTTTACTGTAGATGATGATGAATTATTTACTTGCTCAATTCTATGTATTCATTTCATTTCTTTCTAACTTGGTTTTACCATACCCCAAATGCCGTGATACGGTCGAGGGTGGGGAGTCTTCGACCTCTCTCTAGATGCGCTCACACAGCCACGCGTATATAGCCACTCAGGGACGTCCTACTCACTGCCTTCTCGTGGCGGGCGTGTTCTTTATGAAATTGAGAGGACAAAAAGCGAATGTCCGGCGCTTTGACAGGGTTGGTGGACACGGAGGGCCCACCTAGGGGAGTTGGAAAACTCTGATTCCAAACCAATGGTGAACATGGGCTCCAGGATCCTGAGGGAGCAAATGTCGTATGAGCCTGCTACTGATCACAGGCTACCATGGGACTGCATCTCCTTACGTTGCTGCGCTGCTTTATGCATTAGACCTTTACGTCAAAGACTTCGGATGTGGCCCCCTAAGAAAACTACCTGTTTCGGTCTGAGTACCCGAGCAGTATCATAACCCCCATATAAATCAATGACAAATACGACTGGGAAAATTTCTCTTGCCTCAACGCTCGCTCAGACAAATCTTACTTACGATCATACGATAAGATTCGTTTTTATTGCTTTTACACTACGTCATTTGTGTATTGCCCTTTATTCTCGTTTTGTATATTTTATTTTTAACTGAAACACCAGCTCGCCTATGGTGGGAATCCTGTCCTATCTAAACGATATCAAGTCAATGACTGGTCGGGAGGTGAATACCACCACCGAATACGAATACTGAATCAGTCTTTCTGGAACCACGAGTACCATTCAAACTGGCTTCAACGTTAGCACACTAATGCAGATCGGACAACAGAAAGGGTTGTCTATCCGAGACCCGTATTCAAAACTTTAGTGAAGTAATAAAAATTCTTTCTCCATCGGTCACTTCGAAAAGCTTGTTTCACGTGCGTTTATCTAGGGACCCTGTAGCATCTTCGTCTGGTTTTGCTGGCGTTGGTGTCGCATTAAGAGCTAGAGCAGAGGTAGCACTGACTGATTGGATCCCCATTAATAGTTGGTTATGTGCTGTTTGATTAGAAAGTTCCATCAAAGTGTGAAGAAATAGGTGTGAGAAATGATGTCTTTTCGTCCTCTCAACCTACATCCCAACAGATTGCAGCTCGGATGTGATCAAGGATGAGTTTTACACCAATTAACAATTTTTTCACAGAAAGTGGGTTCGACAGATATTGTAGTACTAGCCGGAGACTTGAATGCCCAAGTCGGGCATCTAGGCACAAAAGAAAGTCGTTTAGGTGACTAATCGGGACTTGTTGGTTGCAGGAGAGGTAACGGGGACCATCTACTGCAACTGTATGCAGACCACAAACTTTTTCTGGCTAGCACTAACTACCGGCACAGTTATCGCCAACGGGCTACTTGGCGTCTTCCCTCTTCATCTCAAGCCTGGACTCAGATTGATTACATTGCGATCAACTACCGCTGGCGTGGTTGTATACAAGACTACCGCTCCTATTGAAGTATCTATCTGGACTCAGATCATGACCTTGTTTGCGCTAATCTTGCCCTACGTCTCAATGACCATAAAATCCATCGTCCTAAACGGATCGATGTCAGTATATTGGTTGCAGCTTCTGTTGCAACTCAATATCAAACCGAGCTAGGTCCAAGGCTAGCTACCAAACCACCGAAAAGTATGGATGAGCATTGGTTGCGATTGCATGATACCGTGAAAATGGCGGGTAAAGTCGCTTGCAGAGTGCCAATGAGTTGGAAGCAGCAGCTGCATTTGGTAACTGCCAAAAGCTCTTTCAGCTCATCAGAGTCACTGGCGGCAAGAAGTCCAGTGTAAGTTAAACAATCTGTGGGAGTGATGTGACGTCAATCATTAACATCTACCGACGTCTTGGAAGATGGGCAGAGTTTTTCGAGGAGCAGTCCGACTGGTCTGTTGCTTCGGAAACATCAATTAGATTGTCCTATCTCCATGGCCTGTGACAACTGCCCCACTTAACGAGGCGGGATTCTGCAAGGAACTCCAACTATTGAAGCGTCACAAATCACCAGACCCAGGTGACTCATCTCCGGTCCTTCTAAAAGATGGTGGTGGTTTTCTGATTATGAAACTGACTGAATTGTTTACAAAGGTCTGACAATTAGAGAGTATTCCGACATCGTGGAATGAGTCAATAATCATACCTATCTTTGAAAAGGGTTTACGTCGTTTCTGTAAAAAACTATCAGGGACAAGTCTAACTCCCATCGCGTCTAAACTATTGGCTTCCATCATGCTTTGCAGAGTGTTCAAAACTCGAGAAAGATTGACTCGCAAGGATCAGGCTGGTTTTCGTTCTGATCAAAGACCTATTGATCAAATCTTCACTCTCTGCCAAATGTTAGAACACCGTCACACTTATCATAAGCCAACAATCGTAGTGTTTTTTGACACTAGGGCCACCTTCGATTCATTGAACAGGGCTGTTCTATGGGATTGTCTATTGAAGAGGAAGTTTATTAATACCTTAAAAGCCCCATACACAAACACCTCAGACAGAATGAGGGCATGAAACCACCTCTCTCCACTGTTTCATTCAAGTAGTGAGGTTAGGTAGGGTTGCCCAATCTCACCATTCCTCTTCAACTTTGTCATCGATGACGTTATGAAAACAGCTCTCTGGTGGTGTGGATCTGTTTCCTGGAAAAAGACTTTTCGACCTTGAGTATGCGGATGATATTGTCTTACTGCGCGATGATACACAGGTCATGCAATCAACACCTAATCAGTTGGCAATCAGTGTCTGTAGGTATGGCATGTGCCTTGCACCTTCGACGTGGCAGGACCTTGATCCTGCACTCACACTGGGTAGTAAGCAGATAGAAGTAGTCGAAAAGTTCGTATATCTGGGTAGCTGCTTACAGTAAAAGTCAGAGAGGATTATGCCAATCTGGGCTATCTTTGGCAACTTCGTGATGTTAGTCTGGCTGTAAAAGGTCGAATCTACAACGCGTCGATGAGAGCAGTTTCGCTCTATCCTTGTGAAACCTGGCCTCTCCGAGTTCTGAATGTTAGATGACTGTCTGTGTTTGATCATCGTTGTCTCCTAAGGATTGCTGACATCCAGTGGCAACACCATGTTAGTAACGCAGAGGTTCGGCATCGTGTGTTCGGGCACAGCGACGATAATTCAATTGGTGTCACCATCTTGAAACATCGACTTCAATGGCTTACATATGTTCTACGAATGTCGTCCCAGAGAATTCCACGTCATGCATTATTTACCGACGCTGGGACTGGTTGGAAAAGGCGAAGAGGTGTTCAGTGTATGAAATGGTGTCGTGGTATGAAAGAAAGCTGCAAAGGACTGGCTTCTGTTGGTCCTTCACGACTCCCTGGCTGGAGTCCTAGAGATGGTGCGACGTAATGGCTAGAGACGTTATCAGACATGGCTCAGAGTAGAGGCCAGTGGCGATCCTGCTGTAACTTTCTTTTAATTTCTTCATAAACGTGAACATAAATTCTTTAACTGAAAGAATTCTTTCTGGTCATATTTTTGCTAACTAGACTGTTTCTCCCACTATCATTATTTCGCTCTCATACACTAATATCTGTTTGTTGTTGTTCTTCTTTTTATTATACGCATTTTACTTTATCTCTTCACAACCTCATTGTTATTGTGTGGCACATATGTATTTGGTGCCTTCTTGTACCAATGTTTATGTGTTTAAATAAATAAATGAGAAAATATCAAACCCAAGTTAATAAACTATTGAACGATAAGATATATGCGAGAGATTGTTAAAAAGGATATTGGCAACAACCAAGTCTAGGTTTGTATACTTTTATGTTTTGGGAGACAGGTTTTAGCTATTTGTTAAAATAATAAATCGACAGAGGTTACAAGTGACGAACCAAACAAAAATGATGATGAATCTGGAGAAATTCAGTCAAGTTAACGAATTGAATATGATCTATGTGAATAAAATTATTTATTTTATTTATTTAAACGCATAAATATTAGTGCATGGGGGGAACCAGATATACATGCGCCACACATGTGGGTAAAAGATCATAACCGTTTCGTGATAATTTTCGACTCAGAAAATAGATATAAATATTAATACATCAAACAGTGAATACAGAATTTATATCGACATTCGAGTAAGTTATCAAAATAATTTCTGATGAACGTGTATATATATACATAAACAAATATTGTTTTCACTCAAACAACCTGCTTCGGTCTGGACATCCGGATAATATCGCAGCCCACACACAAAAATTGTGTGACGCATATGTATTTAGTGCCCCGTCGTACCAATATTTGTGTTCAAATAAATAAATCATTTAGACCAACAACGCTAAAAATCGAAGGTTGGAATTTTAATATGTGAAGGACTGGGCAGTTTAGTTCCCCACGAAAGTCACATTTTATTATAGCTATCAATATTTTAGTATCTATTAACAACTAAGGTACTAAAATTTCATCAGCAATAACCAATGCAAAGAATATTTAGTTAAATTTCGTATGACATACCGCTGAACGCTTTGGAGTGCGTGTTCTTCTTCCGTCTGTATTAGAAGAATTAGGCAAAAACGGTACATGACATTGTGGTAAAACTCCAACGCTTGATATTCCTGGTGAGCCTAGTTAATAATAATAATAAATAGTAACAAGAAAGAGACTGACATCGGTAGACAACTACATTCCATATTTATTGAGATAATAATTCTATTCATTGGTTAAGTTCTAAGTGAGAACGAACACAAAGTTATGTATTTTCTGAGGAATATAAATCGTAGTAAACAGATTAAGCTAATGGTCTCTATATTCGATTTAAAACTCTACAGATGAAAATTCTACATACGCTGGCATCTTTCTCGGGAACAAAGTAATGAGATTTTATGATATGAATGGACTATTCTAGTTACGATGTAAAGTACTAGACAGTTACATGATCGTTTTGTTTTTGATTGCTGAATGGAATAAGATTACTGAACTCAAAGTATGCTATGATAATGGTATCATTTTGCTGCAAAATACGGCTCACATTAAATGATAAATTGTTACTAAGCAATCACAGTAATATAATAACGGAGGTACAAGAAGTTTTTATTTAAATTAGCAAAATAATACCTCGAAAATTTACTGCGTCCGGTTTAACCCGAGCATCCCACATACGTATACTACCATCGCGTGAAGTAGATGCAAAAATATCTGGATAGATTAACAGAGCGAAAAATACAATTCATGTATAAGAAAATAAATTAATCTAGAGGAAAATTGAACTCATAAACAGAAAGGAATTAAAAATGCTTAGCAGATATGTTATTAAACCCAAATAGTTTATCACGTAAAATGAGTGAAGACAAAAGCATCAGGTAGTCCCGCAAAATTAATATACATCTCGATAGTAAGGAACATATCGAAATTACTAACAGTATAACAGAAGCTACATCGCAGTGCACAAGTCCGAAGGCAACCAGTGAGGAACAGGTCTCTTTCCAGCATGAATGACTTAACTTAATGTTCGGCAGTTTGTCATGTTTGATCACCGCCTAAATCCACTGAAAACATAATGCAAGTAATTTACGTACTTTGCTATGTGGTTGCATATGATAATAATTATTCACATATTGGTGAACTTATTTTTAGGAACCGGTTAGTGTTATATGAGTATGTTAATTGTGTGATACATAACTGGTTAGCGAAAATATTATCATTTGTTTTTACTTTGACTGAACGAAAGTGGCAGAAACTTAATCAATTTTTCATTTGACACTATATTTTTGATTAGCACCTTTTACTGTGTACCAAATGCCCAAATAAGGTCTATTGAATCATGACACTAAGTGGTCTCAGACATGATTAAACACAGCTTAGAACAAAAGATAGTGCTGCAATGACTGTCTTGTGGAAAATTTCTTGAATATATCTTGCATAAATCCTTTCTTATTATTTTTTTCCTTACACTACATTTGTATTGTATCATCACATTGTCATATTTTTCGGAGAACCTAACAGTGATTGATTCGTAGAGTATGTAACCAGATGAAATACAAAAACGTTTAGTTCATTTACATAATCTTTAATTAAATACAAACAGCTAACAAACCTGTTACTCATTAAGAGTAAGTCGTAACTAGATCAGCCAACATCATGGTTACTACTTAAAGGCAAATAATATTACTATGTATACCGGTTTGGGCACCCGGGCAGTATCCCAGCCTTCACACAAATCGAATGACTTATGTGGGGCATATCTATTTGGTGTCTCCTTGTACCAATGTTTGTGTGTTTAAATAAATAAAATGCCGAGTCAGAGCAGATGGAATGGAGTTTGACTCCGAAACTATGATGCTGATAGCCAAAGAATATAATATGGGTAACTTTCAAGTTCGGATGCAAATACCACTTTGCCAACAGGCAGTTTAGCTATGAAATGTACTTTACACAGCTGTTTTATCCGTATCATTATTCTGTACATAGAGACTATTTTTAGACAACTACTCACTGAGAACAAAGTCATCAAAGCTACGGACACACACTACAGTAAACTCTTTTTTAAATATCGATAATACGAACTAAATTTTTAATACTATTAATCGTAACCAGTCACTCATATGTTCCTGCAGTGATCTGTGTAAGTGATTTGAGTTGGTTCAAAAACCTTAACAAAGGGCTTACATACAGAAAGAATTACTTACGACAGTCACTGGGCATAAATGAAAGACTGCGTACTGACATGGTATGTCCAAAGAATTGCTGTATTATGACACCTGTTTCAGCGTCGATTAATCTAATAGACTGATCTCCGGAGGCTGTCAGGAAGCTTGATCCAGATGAAAGCCACTTAACGTCAAATACTGCGTTATTATGTGCTTCATAATCTAGTAATCAAAAACATATTACCTTATATGTGAATAACTGTGAAACTTGAATTGATTTGATTTGGTTAAGCATATGATCCAATGAATAGAACTATCAATAATTTATGCCATGAATTAACTTCGCCCAACCAACCCTCTGAAAACTAAAGAGTACTGTACGATTTTCTGTCAAAAAGTGAGACTCCCTAGAACTGAATACCAACGATCTCGTCAGAGATTGAGTGCAGGACCTTTAAGGCTCATGGTGAGTGCATTGCTTTCGGACTACAGAGTTGACACACGGTGGTTCATATTTCCAACTTAGGTCAATTTACGAGACCTAAAGACTGACCCCTGAAAAGGTAGTGAGTATGCGCTACACAAGACCTTCATACTAGAGTGAAACAGTTGTCCAATGTACAGGAGAGGAACAATTGATAAGATACTTGATATTTAGCCAGTGGTTATGAGCTTTAACTCTCCTTAACGAATCGGATTTTGATCAGCCATATGTTTTTATCTTTAATGCTCACAGTTATGGTTAAAAGTCTGATAAATGCATTTATCTTTTAATATATGATTCAAACTCCATTTAGATTAATACCAGTCAATGGAAACATGAACTCATGGGGCCCTTGACTGCTGGTTCTAACCGTATCGAGAAGTGTATACTTCTTCGTTGGAACTCGTGAGAGATCTATAATCAATAGCTAAAGATATCTCTGATATTTCCGAGCATTTTTTCTGTATCTGTTTGGTTTAATATCTTATCGTTTACGTTGGATAGGTGGTAAAGCTGAATTTGTTCTTTATTTATGTTTTTCAAAAGTAAGTTACAACACCCACTCTTCGAAAACGTTCCTTTTGTTGGGATTACAAAGAGTTTTTCACTGAAATAGATGTTACTTTTTAAAACCCTATAACTTTTAATTCATAAATGGTACCTCATCAAGAGGGTGCGAACTGTGATCTGAACGGATATACGCCTAGACAAGTTACTACTTTTTTGCAGACGACCGAATACATGGAGCATATTTACTGGTGAACCACGTTCAAGAGCTAAATAGTGGTCTAAACTTTTCTCTAGGCCAAGTTGTAATCCGTTCGTTTGACGAGAAGACACAGAGAATCATCATAACAAATTCTCTGGTTTTATCTTGTAAATCAAGTATGCTATTGATTGCGCCTTGAATGTACACTAATGAGCTGTTATAAAAGTTATTGAAATTTGATTCAAGTTTATGAACTAATGTGATGCTAGAATTCTTTGCACCTGTCTACTGATCACGACACGTGGTTTTCACTTAAAAAATTTCAACTATGGGTTTTTATTAAATTAACCCAAACCAGCAGCGTATTACATTTTCGTATACTAGATTTAGTTAATCCAACAAAGCACCCGTTTTTACAGGGAGATGAACCATACTGTTGTGAGAAGTCATCTAACTTGCTTGACAGGTACAGATTCATCTAGTCCATGTTGACCTACACTTTGTAAGGGTTTTTGATGAAGGCCGGGTGACTGGATTGTAGTAGACAGAGAGGAGTTGGGAACTCCGAACCACTAATCAACTGCCAATTTAACCGATTGTCCTATTATTAGGACTCATAATCTAAAGGATGAAAAGCGAACATATTTAATTAAATATGAGCGATTTTGGGTAGATCGGTACTTAGGATTAACATATTACAACCCAGCTTCTGATAATTTACTGAGTACGGTTTGGGTTTTAACCATTAAGCCGGGACTACAGTTAACACTAATAAGGAGAGTAATGTTTAATATGTGAAGGACAGTAGCATAAGAAAAGCAGCACGTAGGACAATGTTTTAATCAACGACTTACGTTTGAGAAAAGCTTGAGTACCAGTAACAGAAGTGTCATACAAGTGGACTAAGCCATCCTCTTGAGCGATTAAAATGAGATCAGTGAGAGCTAAAGCCAGTTAGTTTAAGATGTTACATACTTGGAGAAAAGTCACAAGCAAACGGTGGGGAATTCTAGGAATATGAACTTTTGAATTTTAGTCTTACCGGAGCTAAAACTGAATGAAGATGGTATGCTTGGTTTCTTCGACATTCAAAATTCTCCACGCCAATAATAGGCAATCTTTTTTCTGTAATATTGTATGAGGTTTTAAATAAAGTTTACGGTTTTCTTCCGTGAAGCGAAAGAACTCTCTTTGATTGACAGATGAGAATACACTCGGGGACATAAAAGATGCAGCAACAACTAAAAACAGCGCGGAAACCCTTAGGTTGTACTGGCGACCACTTTAAACATTCGGTGTGAAAAATTTGGTACTGTATGGAAAGAAAAAGGATTTCAGCCTTTATTCGTGAAGTTATGAAGTCGATCGACCTATATCAATACTTGAAATCTGTAGTACTGTGAAGAATGAATCTCGCTTTTGATATTTCGTGCTCTGGTAGTGGATTCTAGTAATTAACTACTCTGTGTGAGAAATGGAATTCCAGAAATAAGTGGTTTCGTCGTAATCTTGGATTTTTTCACGATTTCATCCTAAATGTTCAGTCCCATACGGAATGTGAATATGAAAAATTATTACCAAAATCATCGTTCAGTGTACAGTAAAACACTACTAGATCAGTTCGAAGCTCACAGTGAGATAGTGAAAGTAAGTTGACGCGTTTCAGTCTGTTTTCACAAGATAGGTCAGAGAGGCCTTTTACTGTTTAGGTTACTCTCTGTTAAGGTCATTTAGACATATCCGCTGCTTGAGTCCCGTATTACAAAAGCCTGAACACTTATTATTCCAGATAGTAGGGTGACTTGCGAACAGTCAATAACACACCAAATCATGTAGTCACTTATCTCGGGTGATATAAATTCACCTGCTGTGTAGTGATATGAAGCACCGCAGTCACGTTTTTGCATCAGCACACTCTTGTTGGAGTTAACCTCTAGTAACCACTTACAAACCAATTTAACTAATGAATTTGGGTCATCTTGTAATATTATTCTATCTAACTGTAGTGCTTGAGTGAACAAATGAATCCTTTTTATTGATGAACTTTTGTTTTGAATTCCAAGTGTAATACATTCGTTCGTGCTCATCTAATACTTTTTGGTTAAATTGCGTGGTTTCTGAGATTTCCATTTTCTAATACAATTCAAATACTCTTAAATATCACATTAGCGTCGCGATGGAGCTTGTGATGGAACGGTTAGAAATACATTCAGATTCTAATGCTTTTGAGGATTACATGGACAGGTTCAAAATCTGGGCTATGACTAAGGAAGATGTTGAGGATGTTAATATTAAGGCTCACTTCCGTACGTTCATCGGAAAAGAGGCATACAGCTTAATAAAGACTTCGGCACTTCCAGACAAACCAATTTCACTCTCTTATGCAACTCTCAAGCAACTACTATTGGACCATGCAAAGTATACAAAATTTGAATGCGGTAAACGAAAAAAATTCACTGAAATGATTCGCAAGAACATCAAGAACCCCACTACTTTACTACGTCATCCCTGTTCAATACGTAATCAACATTTATTCCGATAACAGTTTATTAAATTATGAAACAGCTCACGAAAATGAGTACAAGCTTCATAAAAACCTGTGTTGTGGCAAGTCTCACCTATGTAATTCATGTGTATTTCGCAAGTCTGAATGCTTTATATATGGTAAAAGTGAACACATTCAGTCAGTTTGTAATACCACGATTCATTTTGCTGAAACTAATGCTAAAATTCGTGATTCTACTAAGTTTGATGTTTTTGATGATCACTTATCTTTATCCAGACTTATAGAAGCGGTATAGCCTCACATAGCAGTCCAGAGTTTAACGAAACCCAGAATCACTGTGAGACGAAGGTTTCCAATCAACCAACTTCTTATCAGATTTCTCGTGTTATGGTACAAGATATAGTTTGTCATAATTATTCACATATTTCTGATGAAACTTCTTACAACTCTGAGAGTAATATATTGAATGAGTCAAATTATGGTCAAAAACCAGATCCCGTTTTGGTAGATGCTGATTTTTCTAATGATCCATTATTCTCTAATGAAACTCTCAATAAATTTGATGAAAATATTTCAAAAGAATCGAATCCTGATGTCATATCATATATTATTTATCCTCATAATGCATTTGCTTCTTAAGGGAAAATTATTCAGTACGAAGCACGAGTACTAAGTGAGCTTCATTTTCATTACAATTTGGATAACTTCATATCATCTGTTGTTCACACTTATCATGAAGTCACTTCTAACGAATACGATGTTCAATATGTGAAAAATGTTTTAAATGAACCCACATCATCCATAGCTTGGGGAATATGAAGATTCAACATTGTTTCATGATGGGGTATAGCGTTGGAAAGTCTACGATGCAAATTCTAAACATCAGTGGTTTTGTTACAAACCGACATGATGATTGTATGCAATTCCAGGAATCAGGTGAGTTTGTTCCGATTTCGGTTGTTAATTCTAACACTAACGAGTGCATTCTAGATAATACAGAGATTACATCCAATACACTGTCGGGCAGACGTAAGATGAACTTAAGAAGACGTACAATCGATTACAGACACTTACACCAATTTAATCTGTAGCGGATGTGATGTTTGAATGAACCAACGACTTCTTTGTACTGATGACTGTTTTGATTTTGAATTCCAAATACAGTACATTCGTTCGTACTCATGCAATACTTCTTGATTAAATTGCGTTATTGCTGGGATTACTACTTTATACTATAATTCAAATACTCTTAGACGTCACATTAACTCCTTATCAGTAACTAAATTTAAACCACATATGATAATCAACTTAGAGTGGAAATTAAAGTAGGTCTTTGAAAGAGAACACTTGCTGTTTCGTAGAAAACTAATTACACGGACAACATTACTGATGATACACTGTCCACATAACAGTGGAATATAGATAAACATTGTTGACGTTCATCCTTTGTTTGTACCATCAACGGATTTAAATGTTCGTCTGCACTTGATTCCGTTGATATGGCAGCCATTGCTCTTCGTTGACAAAGATATTAATTTGCCATGATCGATGTGAGTACTCGTGCAGAGTAAGCAACAAACACAATTTCTATATCTAATGTGAACTTTGCTCTATTGTGTTTCAAACGTTACCCATCTAATTATAGATATAACACTGTTTTCGGAGCCAAAGATATCACGTGTATTCAAGCCTTTAAAACTATTTTGTTCGTAACACCTCTGACATTGACGATTCCAAACCCAGACAAATCAGATGTCAGAAATGAAGAAGTTCGAAGATATATTTGGAAGATAGTCGATAAGTCGTGTGATATATGAGCTAAGACGACTAGTTGTTGCGAGAGACGTGTAGCACGCGAAGTTGATCTGGAGCAGATGATTGACCGAGCTCCACCGTCTAGGGCGTGTCCACTAAAACTAATAAGTTCAGTATCATTGTCGAAGACTTGCAGGACTATCTATTTTATGGATATCTTTGACGTTACATATTGTTTATCCTGCTTGGTGTTGTTGTTCGACAAATACATTTGATTCGTTTAGTCGTGAACTATTAACGTTAGGGTTATGCTAATTATAGTGATCAAATTCTCTTACTCGTCTCCATTCACATCAAGAGCTTTATGCACAGACATGACAATATCTAAAAATTGTTCAACATTTTAGCAGCTTTTGCATAAGTGTTTTGCTTTTAACTTTACGTTGGATAAGAAGTTTTCAATTTATTCGATACTGTCTAATTAACTATTACTGAATATGAAAAGATACTGCTAATTAAGAAGGGTATAGTTTCAGCATTTTATGAGGATTATGTTGACGTTATGCAGTGATTCAATTCAATCATTCCAAGCAGCATCAATTCAAAACTCATCCAAATTAGAGGGTAGAAAACAAAATAAACACAGTCAACTACAAACCATTGACAAGAAGACACTAAGTAAAACAAGAAATCTTGGCAAACTTGATCATAACAACTTTATCCGGCGCCAAAATTTTTACGGAATATGCGGATAAATTATTGGAATATATAGAAACGTTTTCTCAGTATTCAAAAAAGCTCTCATACTAGAAGACCATTGAAATGTAACTGGAATCAGTGAAGTTAACTCAATAAGGAACAACACTTGAAATACTATGGAACCGGAAGTTGGTGGCTGAAAATTTTCGGAAACTGTATATAACTGATATCCTGCAGAAACATCAAAGGATAAACTTAGGAAAATAATAGAAACTCGGACGTTAAATACGTCCTTAACTTGAAAGAAAATCACAATGATTGATGAGTCAAGGGCGTCTAGCTATTAGGATTTATAGTGGATGTCGAGTCGAGGACGGACTATGATCACCACTACTATTCGATTACGCGCCCAAAAACTACTCGGTTCCTTTGATAATGGTAAATCAGAAGGCTTTATTAATCCAGATCAAGTATATTTATTGGCGATCTCGAGGTATCGAAATAATACCGAGACGTGCCAAAGAGTACAGCCAAGATGGGCAGAGCGTGAGCAAGTTCGAACCAAACAAGGCGGATAGCGAAACAAGAAGTGAATCTGATACAGTTAAACAAATACAGTAAAACAATCTCTGGTACAATTGGTTACAATAATAATAATTGTTTCCGTTATTCCAATCGTGTTCTTATCGAGACTGGCCGGTCACTACAGATTAAAGCAAAACATGGTGTGTTTCACTGGGTTTTCAGAACTAAACAGTTTGTGTAAAAGTCTAATTGAGGGTCACAAAACGTTCATTGTAGTACCTCAGTATTATCATCACTTTTTTATCCCAAAAATTGGAAAGTTAAAACAGTAAGATCGGCAGAGTAAACTAACCTATTATATAACCTAAGAGGTGCATTTATTTTCTGCACAATTAATACCCTATTGCTCAAATAACAAATTTCAATCTTAGAGTAACTGCCACTAGTATCATAATAATTAGGCAACGATCCAGAGAGAACAGCCAATTTGTACACATATGGTAAGTAACAAATCGGAGATTGCTTGGAAGCATAAGCACATTATGTGAAGTATGAAGAAGGATATACTTTAAACCATGTGACTTCAATTGATTTTTTGGATAAAACATGGTCTTCATATGATGAAAGCCACATAATATAATCACTGTTTTAAAAGAATCGAATAACTAACGTACATTTTTAAACTGTTTTACGAACGAAAAGCATTATTTTAACGTGATTTGCGTTTCACAAACTTCTGTTGTGTCCATACTTAACAAAATACCATTTTTGATCCGAAGAATCTATCCTGAGCTTAAAGTTTAGTAGATTAATTTGCTTTTTAAGTTTAATGCG